AACTAATGTTAACTAATGAACCTTATTGTAAAGTGTTACCGATGTTTTTTCACCTTTTTTTTAATACGCCATTCTTTGTAAACCCTAGAAATGGTTGTGCATGAAAATCCTAGTAACTGAGCAGATTGTGAAATACTCAGACCGGCTCGTCTGGCACCAACAACCATGCCACACTCAAAATTGCTTAAATCACCTTTCTTTCCCATTCTGACATTCAGTTTGGAGTTCAGGAGATTGTCTTGACCAGGACCACACCCCTAAATACAATGAAGCAACTCCCATGTAATTGGTTGATTAGATAATTGCATTAATGAGAAATTGAACAGGTGTTCCGAATAATCCTTTCGGTATGTGTGTGTGTGTGTGTGTGTGTGTGTGTGTGTGTGTGTGTGTGTGTGTGTGTATATATATATATATATATATATACATATTAAAAAACATCTCTCTCTAAGTATTATTGTATACCATATATTTGTTATATTACTATGTATACAAGGTGAAGATTCATTGTGGAATGAAGTCAAAACTTTTTAATAGTCCTTGTTTTGAAACAAAACTCCAAGAGTAAGAAAGGAAAACTAAATGTCAGTTTCTGTCACTTTTTCACTTTCTTGATTTGATCTCCATCTCACTACTTTGCGAGAGCTTCTTCCTTTGAGTCACGCTATGATGTCACAAGAGTTCAGCTGTTTTTTATTTTTTTTATTTTTTTGACGTTCCACCATTTCACATAGCCAAAGAGTGCAATGCTGACACTGTTGCTATTCAGCTGAATTACAAACAAAATAAAAGAAATCACTCATTATTTCATCAAATGCTTTGATATGCAATGCATGAGTCAAGACTACTGAAACCTAAAAAGATAAATAGCAGGAAGACCAATAATCACAAAAATTAAAGTATAGACATTTTTTTTTAATTAAATACGTCCAGTTCTGCCCTGTTGAATAAATTTCTAAGGAGTGTCCTTTTTTGTTGAAATATAAACGGCATACATGAATGTGCATGGGCCTAAGAAACAGGTAAGCAACAATCACAAAAATTAGGTCTCAAAAGGTCAGATTGTATCAATAAAATCAAATAATGATGTTCACAACTAAGTTACTATGCAGTACTTGATGAATACAGTGGGTGTTCGTCTTCCTGACAATCATTAAGTCTGTAAAATCAGTTTTTTTTTTGTTTTTTTTCGTTTTTAATGACAAATAATCAGCAGAATATTAAATGCTGCAGAAGGTACAGAAACACCAACTGAATCCATTCCAGACCAAAGCATTTAATCTGTTAGGGGGGAAACATGTGCACTGATATTCTTGCTTTTTCCACCACAGCCCAACAGATGCTCCTTCTGTGTCAGGGTTTAACTGGCTCAAGGGAGAACGGACCAGCTCCCCCCAGCTGGAGCCACAAACGAAGTTACCCAGGTGAGAATGTCGGAAAGTAAAATCACTCAGCAGTCCACGCTTCTAACCAAAAAGTAATTGCTAAGTGATTTAAGTAATCAAGATTTAAGAGATCCAGATAGTAAAAGGCTTAAATCGTTCTTCCGATCATCCCTTTACAACAGTATTTGGTTATGCACTATTAAACAACTTCTTATTGCATTTCCCCACTATTTCCCTTGAAAATAAACTACTTAATAGACACACACAAAAAAAAAACAAAAAAACAAAAACAAAAAAACTGTTGTTTCTGATGACATTTCTCTTGACTGCTCAAGCTGAAAACTACAGGTGATGGTTATGTAAAAAGTATTGGGTCAGAGTTACAGTTAGCTTTACAGTATGAGAACAAATGTGATTACGACACATTGAAAACTCAGTTCTTACTCCTCCTACATTCAATATTCAGCTCGTGTTTTCTAATTATGCATTCACATCTCAGTAGATTGATGCCCATTGCCCTCACGACATGTATATTCAACAAAAGAACTAGTAAGCAAATCAAAGTCTTGACATTTATTTATTTATAAATCTATTTTAAAAAAAATCTTCATTATGGATCTGCATGAATTCCACAAATTTACAATACACAGAAGAAACAAATATGATATTATAAACACTTTGTAGAAAAAAATCAATGTGGAGCAGTAAAAGGTTTTTAAAAGTATATAACTTGTTCTAAGCAGTTAATGTTGATAGTTTTTACACAGTAACTAACAATCCAGTCTATGACTCTAATATAAACTCATGCTGATACATAAAGCATGAAAGGACATAATCTCAAAACATACTCCCTGGGCTGTGCTGCAAACAGGCCTGAAATGTAAAAAGGTCAAGAGCAAAACAGATTTTAAGACTACGAGCCAGCCAAAAATGTACAACCCAGCAACAAAGTTCCTTGCATTCCAGAGTCTGTTATATATAGCCTATATTACATAGTCTACTAAAATAATTAATTGCAGTGTCCATAACAAAGTGAGATTATAAACTGCAGGGAATATTCACATATTATTAAGTTCCATGTTGTTAAACAGTATTGCTCTCAGCACTTAAACGTATGATAATAAATCACCTGAAAGCCAGAATATGTCTAACGATGATATAAGCTATTTGCTCAAATATATGTTATGTTAAAAATGAGTGCTGAAAACAGAACATTAAGTCCTTATTTCTTAAACAAACATCAAAGATAGTGCTCTCTATGCCCGTGTTAGCTGAACTTTGAATAACTGATGCTGCTTATCCATTATTTGCAGTGGGTCAAATTAACTACTTTTTTTATCAGGTATAGGCTACTCTAATGAAATTATATAGTCTCAAGGGATACAGAAACTACTGCTGTACCTGAAAGAGGGAACTCGGGGAACGTCCAATAGCCTACTTTTAAAGAGACTACTTTACACACAGACAAGTTTCGAGTGTTTTCTGCAAGTTGAATGAAAAACACGACGCCAGACGTGCGTTTGTAGCATTTACTGTGAAGAAGAAAAAACACGAGGCATGCATGCAAAATACCAAACAGACGCCGTCTCCTTATGTTTAATGACAGACGATTATTTAAAAACGCCTTCTTAGCAGATGACAAAATAAACCATGTCCATATAATTAACAATAACTAACTTAAAAAGAACACACACACGAGTGAAACTACTAACGACCAGAGCAGAGCTTTTTAAAGCCCATGTGTTATTTTCAAATTAAATATTCTCCTTCTCCATTTTTCCCGCATTCTCTCTCTCTCTCTATATATATATATAAAAAATACTAAAATGCATTTTTAAAAATATTATATGTGTGACCTCAAGGCTTTAATGAACGGAGGCCTGAGGTTAATCGGAGAACAGGAGCTGACATTTCGGTATTTGCAGAGCTCAATAGACGTGTTCAAGTTACCAGTTTAAAATAGTTTCGACACTTAAGAACAGTATAGTTAACAATTTTATTCAACTTTTGCTCAGAACATAAATAAGTACAACGTAATGCGTGATAGGCAAAATATAAAAATAAATTAGACGCACCACGATTACGTATCATGAAGCAAAAATAACATCACATTCGTGTGCATAAACAACAAGTGTTTGTATTGAACTGTTGTTTTTGTGTGCCGCTGTCTTCTCTAAGTATCGTCGTGGCGGATAATATGGATACTTTACCAGTAGAGAATGCGGCAACAAATCGTATGTATAGAAAGCGCGGCTCCAAGAGCATGGCAGTAATGCGGAGTAATTCATTCGTCAGTCAGTTGTTGCTGTCACTGGCATCTTCACGAGACAAGCGCTCGCGCAACGGTGCAGGAAGGTTCACAGCCAACTGACAATTAAACCATTAATACTGCACAATTCCGAACCAAAGTGGCTTTAACAAATATTTATCAATATTCCTTTTATACAAACCAACCTAAAAATATTTAAAGTTATCGATGTTATTTGACAAATAACCGTCACTAAGGGTAGTTCGTCAGTAGCTTATACACAGACAAACCACGACGAGACCAAAGCAGTTAGAATGAAAGTTTACATTTTCTAACAAATTAACGACATTCCAGTTAAGCCAGTATTCAAACACAATGTCTCAATGTTCATATAATCCCGGTCAAACAAACCGTTGTGCACATTGGCCAGCAGGTCCACAGATTTGAAGAGGTAACATAATAGGAAAAAGATATCACTTAGAGAGAAAAAAATAACACAATAAAAATGCCGTGTGAATAAGCGATCCAGAAATGTTCTGTAAAGAAGATTATGGCCGTGGGTTTAATACGGGGAAAGGCAACGAATGGACACTTTGCTTATGTCATGGAATAGCAAATTAGTTCTGAGTATTTTGAGGCTGGGCTAAAGAGACAACGTACGTAAGACACTTTCTCTGGCCACGTGACCGTCTCTGCCTGGACGCGTCCATCCGAAAGGAGGAATTAAGCATTGAATGCAACTATTTTTCTCAGTCGTGACGGAAATATGATTCTTTCATTTACATTTTAAACGTCGAATTTAGAAACACTATAGTTTATTATTGAAGTGCAACGGTATGAAATTCAATTATTGACGATAACTAAAGAAATACAAACTTAAAGCAAAAACTTGCACACCCCTGTCCTCTAAAAATGGTATGGTCGTCAGCTCAAATTCCGAGAATTGAGCTCTCCTGATTCTTAGAACTGGGGTTCTTAGAAGTGGTGATGCAAGAAGTTTCTAGGAAAGCACTACCAGGTGATTTTTTTACATTCTTTTCCTTCTGGCGCGCTGTTGCCATTACTCACACATGTTCATTAGGCTGTTTTATTGGATTGTATGGTTAAATGTTTATCTAGGCTGATTTGAAGGTGTTTTTGTGGACAGTTTCTAGAGCGGAGTGTTTATGTAGTGGGTCTGTCTGGTGAAAATGCTTTTGACAGTTCAGGTCGTCCTGCATGAACAGAACCACACTGCTCTGTCAGTCCTTACTGCGGAACATTGGGGTCGTAAATAGGACGTGCAGCAGAGGGTTGAAAATTTAGACGCGGTGCGCGTTTTTTTTTTTTTTTTTTTTTTTTTTTGCCCAAGCTACCAAATAAGACCGCTTACAAAGTTGACTAAATGGCACATGGGGGGTAATATAATACAGTAGAGATTGTGCACTGCGTGGTTAAACACAAAGATAAAAGCGTTAATCCGACGATTTCACTCCCTTTTCTCTGCGCATGTTTTAAAAGTCGCTCGGAAAGCTGAGTTTGCACTCACGCTCGCGTTCGCTCTTTCCCTTGACGTCTTGATTTTGTTGTCCTGTGCCAAAAGCTGTATACATTGTGTTTTCAGTGCGTGTATGCTGGTATAAGTCACATCCTTAGCTTAGAGATGATTTCTGATTAGTTCCACAGCTCATTTACTGTCATTACTGATACTGCCATTATTGTTTTTTTGTTGTTATTGTTTTTTTTTTCTTTCCTAAAGTGCATAAGCGATCAATATATTTAAAAAGTAGCTGAGAATTGTGAATTGTTACAAGATTCGTCAGCGCTTGGCGGTAGAGATGCAATAGAAAAGTTTACATAGTTCGGTTCCCTGTCACTTTGTGGCAGCACGAGAATAACAGACCTGCACAAGTTTCTCTCGTCATGTGTCTTGTATTTTATTTGTCGGCAATGTGTTGTGTGTTTCATTTTAAAGTAAGTTATAATGTTCTCGTCAGAAATGAAAAAAGAGAAAGATGTAGAGATGCATATGGATAATAAGACCGGTTTGAAAAGAAGAAATCGACTAGCCTATATTTAAAGTGGTTAGAAAGCGCTGATTGGCATTGAGCAGTGGCTTAGAAATCTTGCCGCTGTTTGCGTGTTTTGGATCGGGCTCTATTCCTGGAGTGAGCACATTTACAGGCGTTACAAAGAGTAAAAGTGATTTAAATTTAATACTTAAGATGTAAGCTGAGAGTACGAATGCGAGATATGCAAGAGCTCAACGGTGAGCGCGTGCGCTCTGCCATACGACACTGTATTCGTGAGAAGTTGACGTTCTGTTTATACGTTATAGTGATTTAAGACCGCTAAATCCGTGCGAAATTGCCAAATATGACTTGACGTGCGACTTGCAGGTGTCGTCGTTGTCGTTTAGTGCCGCTGAACTTCAGAACGGTCACTGGGTGACATCTCGTGGACGCAAAACTTCTAATTTCTTAAACAACAAACGTAAAAGTAGCCTAGTACGTGCAATCAGAGTGGCTACTAAAGTTTTGCTCTAAGGAATACATTTTCATAAACGTTGTAAAGAGCTGGTGTATTCGGGTTGTTGTGGTTTCAGTGTGTAGCGATTTGTTTTATTTGTTTGTCTAGTGGTTAAAATCCAGATCCCTTTCCCGGTCATGGGTGTTTTGCCTCCTCACGCAAGAGCATGGCATCATGACAGCGCGCGGTCTGGGATATTGATATTATGTAGGCTCAAATGGAAACAGAATCTTTAATACTGAATGTTCAACATGTGAAAAATGTTCGCCTAACTATTTAAAGGCGTCCAGTGAAACTATATATTTGTGTCAAGGCGCCAGATGTGACTGGGAGAATCGTCTGAGGTGATGCGTCCAATGTCTGAACGTAAGAGCGCAGAATGTGTTGTCGAAATTAATCTATTAAAAAAATAAACTTTTCTACAGTTAACATCATTCTTCGTTTGTGTTTGTTGTCTATTCCACTTTGTCTGTTATTACATCCATTCCTTAATAGTGAAGTCTATCGGTAAACAGTGCGGCAATAAACAGCCTAATTTCCCCATGACTCATTCGAGTTTATTCTCCTCCACACATAAAGACTTGAAAATCGCAGGGAAAGAAGCTATTTTCTCCAGAAGACAAAAGCTGTGTAAATACACACTTCGGTGAACTAGAGACATCTCAAGATAAATATGCACTTTGTGAAAACTTAATTAAGGTTCCTATAAATGTGGTTCGATAAAAGATAATTTTAGGTTGGATGAAAAAAGATTCTCAGACGTGACAAAACTACTGCACGTGGATGGACGTCAGATCTCTAACTAAATATTTTCATCATTTGTCGCCACCTATCGGAGAAGGAGAGATAACTACGAATGTAATTGATTTTCAGATTAAAGGGATAGTTCACTCAAAAATTATAAGTCTGTCATTTACTCACCCTCGTGTTGTTCCAAACCCTAATGGCTCACTTTCTTCCGTGGAACACAAAAGGAGTTGTCAGACAGAATGACAGCCTCAGTCACCATTCACTTTCATTGTAGGCAAAAAAAAAGTTGCAATCAAAGTGAATGGCGACTGAGGCTGTCATTCTCCATAACGTCTCCTTTTGTGTTCCTTTGTCAGAGGAAAAGCAGAGGAGGTACACATTGACAATTTTTTTGATGCATAACAAGATTAAAGCTATATTCTTAATAGAGGTTTTGACATACCTCCCAAAAAAAGCAAAGAACAACAGCAATGCCTTTGTTTCTAAAGTTTCTAACAGCTAATATAAGCTTTAAAGATTCCTGTGATGTTGGAATAATACCCAACTTTCTGATTTTAGCACGTTATTCAGTGAGCACCGATTACATAATTCATGGTTCATTGTGTTTCCCAACAGATCTCGAAAAAATGGCTTGTGCAGCCGACAGCTGCATCCAATTCACGCGTCACGCAAGTGATGTTCTGCTCAACCTGAACCGACTGCGCAGCAGAGATATCCTCACAGATGTCACGATTCTGGTCAACAGACAACAGTTTCGAGCACACAAAACGGTCCTTATGGCATGCAGGTGCATTTGAAGGCTATTTCTATTTGTTACATGCTTGCCTATGGTGGAAATGGTAAAGTGACTAAAACTAAAACATTTTCTTCACAGTGGGCTGTTTTACTCAATCTTTACTGATTCACACAAATGTAACCTGAACGCCATCAGTCTGGACCCAAAAGTTGACCCAGAGGGTTTCGCAATCCTTCTGGAGTTCATGTACACTTCACGTCTCGCACTGAAGGAGAGCCTCATCATGGCCATTATGAACACAGCCATCTACTTGCAGATGGACCATGTAGTTGACACCTGTCACAGATTCATCAAGTCCAGGTATATTTTGCTTTGTTCATAAATGATTCCTTAGTGCTTCTAAAAACAGAACGCTAAATGGAATTTTAAATAGTTGGAGAAATCCGAGGTCTTTAATTTGCTCAATATTCCCATGCAGTGACTCCTCCATCAAACTTCCCAGAGAGGACTTTCTGGTCAGCCCCCTGCTTTTACCTCAAGACGTTCACGGTTACAGACCCCACGAGGTGATGGATAACGTTTCTGGACGGGCAGCGACTTTCAGAGATGGGAGACCCTATGGCGTCTGCATGTTTAACGGGGTCAACGCTCCCAACAGCTCATACCTGTACAGCCAGTTTCCCATGCAAGGTTTCCCCTTTCCTCTTTGCAAGCTTACAGACACCAAGAACACTTTCTCAGACTTCTCAAAGGGAGGCATCATCCATCACAAACACTGCTCTCCGGTTGACGGTAACAACACTGTGCTGTCCGACTTCACTCGCAGCGCCGCCGTCGGGAGCTCAATCGCTTGCCACGCAGGCTCATACTCCTCAAGGGAACCGGGAAGAGACGGGGAAATGAAGCAGGAGACCACGGAGGGAGTGGTTCATTCGATCGGGATGAGCTCCAGGAAACATGGCTTTACCAGCCTGGCCCAAGACCAGCAGAGGGAGACTGGGAAAGAGCAGAGTTCCCTGGCAGAGGAACATTTGAGCCACCAACACTACTCCATGGGCATATCCTCCAATGGACGCAAAACCTTGATGAGCAGCCCCCAGAGCCCCCTCAAATCCGACTGCCAGCCCAATTCCCCAACAGAGTCGAGCAGCAGCAAGAACGCCGCCCTCGCACAGGCCTCGCAACCTCCAACCTCTCAAGGTACACAAGACCCTAAAGCTCGCAACTGGAAGAAGTACAAGTTCATTGTGCTCAATCAAAGCTCCAAGGAGGAGGAGACCAATCCTCGTGAACCCGGAATGCACTCCCCACCGAGGCCGGGCTTGTCTGCTTTCCTTCACCACGTGGACTCTGAACATCCCGACTCGAAGGCAACGACAAAGATTAGCGAGCAAGGCGAAGACTTCACTGTGCCTCAGGCCAGTCGCCTGAACAACATCATCAACAGGTGAGTTGTTCTTTTTTTTTTCAAAGGAAATCTGAAACTCTTTAACAGCTATAAAAGATGTCATCCTGTAGTATGTGTACAGAAACCGATTAGAAGATCTCGTTTCCTAATGCAGTAAAGTTTAGAACTGCCAGTTTGTGAGTGTTTTGTGAAACGGTTCCCCACCCACCACCTCCACAAAGCCAGATTGAATTTTTCTTCATCCATTCCAATCCTCTTACTGCACACCGAGGATTTACATCTTAGCAGGAATGTGTGAAATTCATTCGGTATTCTATGAAAATTAGTGAATTCCTCTGCATAAAGACCTAAAATGTGGCATTCTCCTCCTCAGAACTCTGGAGGGATCGCAGAGGAACAGTGACAGCCACTCTTCTCTCTATATGAGCCATTTAAAATGCTCGTCCTGCGGCTCCCAGTCTCCACAGCACTCTGATATCTGTCCCAACACGTCGGCCTCACGTCTGGCCGAGGAGATGTCTGAGATGCACTCTGAGTACTCTGATTCCAGCTGTGGTAAGAAACTTCGAAATGGTTTCCTAAGAACCTGTTAGTGTCTTCCAAAACCAATCTAAAACCAATACTCCTTTACCTCACAGAAAATGGAACCTACTTCTGTCATGAATGCGACTCCAAGTTTGCAGAGGAGGAAGCCTTGAAACGCCACACGCTTCAGGTCCACAGTGACAAGCCATACAAATGTGACCGTTGCCAAGCAGCATTCCGCTACAAGGGAAACCTTGCCAGTCATAAAACAGTTCACACCGGTAAAAATAAACAGCTGCTAATACAAATGCAATTTTGGCTTTGACGTTCGAGCTTTTGCTTAACCTCCTTTTTCATTTGCTCTGCAGGAGAGAAACCATATAGATGCAATATCTGCGGGGCTCAGTTCAACAGACCAGCAAACCTCAAAACCCACACACGGATTCACTCAGGAGAAAAGCCATACAAGTGCGAGACATGCGGCGCTAGATTTGTGCAGGTGAGTGCTTCGAGTTAGTCAATCGTAGAGACGGAGAAAAAGAGATTTGAAAGAGTAACATAACCTTTTGCGCAGGTCGCTCACCTTCGGGCTCACGTTCTGATTCATACTGGAGAGAAGCCATATCCATGTGAGATCTGTGGCACTCGTTTCCGCCATTTGCAGACACTGAAAAGCCACCTGCGAATACACACAGGAGAAAAGCCCTATCATGTAAGAATACGTACAGCCAAATCATTCATAACTAGATCTATAAAGCGCAAAAGCATTTATTCCCGTTCTTGCATTTGTTTTTCAGTGTGAGAAATGCAACTTGCATTTTCGCCACAAGAGTCAGCTGCGGTTACACCTCCGGCAGAAGCATGGCGCGATCACCAACACCAAAATCCAATATCGCATGTCCTCAACAGACCTACCGACTGACTTAACGAAGGCATGCTGAGTAGGCACTTTGGGGCAGACCTTGGCATTATATGACCTGACTTGTACAATCATTCAAAATTTTAGTGCCACACTGTGTTAATCGGACAAGAAGAAAAAAAACTGGCATAAAATGCCAGTCTAAACGGGTTTCCTCTACATTTGAACATAGAACCACAATATGATCTCTTGTAGTCACTTTATTGTTTGTATTTACATATGAATATATATATATATATATTAATGTTGGGAGTGTTTTTACAATTTGAGTTATAAAAAGCTTTATTTTGTTGGAAGAAGGAAGGAATGTAAAACATTTAAATCTGGTTTTTGAAAATACAGTATTTTCTAATGGGAAAAAAAACATACTTTTCTGAAGGTATTGGGGATTTTGATCGAGGTTGGAATATTTTAAGAACACATTTCTCGCAAAGCAAAGAATTGTGTGTCTATAGATTTTTATATATACATGTACAGGTTACACTATGTTGGAACAACCTCTGTCTTGTAAGAGGAACTCCTAACTGTGACTATAGCATTGGATATCTCACTTGGTTTTTGTCGTGTACTTTTGAGAATGATGGCTGCTCTCTCAAATGGAAAACATGCATGAGGTGGGTTGCCACTGATAAACTTTTATTATGTAGGAAACTGCATAAATATTGTGACAAAGTGTAATTTACTTTACATCAAGATTGCTCTCTGCTGGCAGAGCCGATCTGGAATTACATGGTAACATATGCATTCAAAAGTAATAATAATGATGATAATAATAAAAAAGGAAAAAAAAAAAAAAAAGTACTGCTATGTTATGACCAAGGAGATATTTTGCTTCAGATGTATTTGTACAGAAATGTGACTTTTTGTTTCTTTTGGCAAGTGAAGGTTTACAGTTTTGTTGTCGTTCTAGAAGCTACAGTAAAAGGTTATACTATTGTCTTTATTTTCTTTTTTTGTCTGTGTATACACTGTGTACTCAAGGTGCCTTTCTCAATGGTGTCTGAATTTACTTTCATTCAGCCCAGCTCTACTAAGGTACAACTGAAGGGCAACATGTGTCCTTTTTTTTTTTCCTTTTTGAGTGTGTATGCGAGAATGTGTGACAGAAGGACGCTGTGACTGTGTGTGTGCATGTGTGCTTTATAAATGCTTTTCACACACTTTAAGAAAAAAAAATGCAAATCATTGCGTGAGCTATACATCTTCAGGACTTGTTTTGGGATTGGGCTTTTTTAAATAATAAAAAAATGCATTAAGCTTATTGTAAAATATAGATGTATGAATGTAAAATAAAAGTATTGGATTTCTATGTCAAACACTTGTGTATCGTCTATTTATTTCATATTCAAGGCAACATGAAAGTGAAAGACAATGAACTTCAACAGTTTCAAGTGCATTCACCATTCTCTTGACAACTTAATCATTAACATTTCCCTTTTTTCATATATTTTTAAAAGCTTAGCTTTATGGGAATGCTTGCATGCTACAACAAAGACCAAATTGTTAGAGAGTCGAGACAATAAGCAGGGAACCAAATCACCACAAGCTTAGGGTAGTGAAAAGCAACACTGGAAGCTCCACACCTCTGTAGTATCAATTCCTTTTATAGGGCTAGAGTACTATGAACGAACTAACTAACCCCAATAGGAGTGAAACACTACAAAACAGTTGGGCTACAGTTTGTTTTTCCACAGACATTTGCTTTAAGTTACACCAGTACTGATTCCCAGTCAAGAAGTGACAAACAGCTCCATCTAAAACACCACAACCATATTATAACCATTATATATATATATATATATATATATATATATATAGTTATTATTATTTATACATCTTCATCAACCAAAATGATTTTTGACTCCATAACTAATGCTCAGACTTATATGCACACATCATAATCCAATAGATACTGCATAGCATCATACAGACAGGAGATGTCATCATTTATATAGAAGCTTATTCAATAATCAGTTCAACACAAGATCATATAATGGAAGTCTGCAACATAGTCATTATGAGAGATTGGGGAGAGGGATCAGAAAACTATCCATTACAAACCAAAGGTATTAGATCCTCTTGTGTTACTCTGGAACAGGTCTGAGCTTATTTTGCTTCCTTCTTAAAAACCAATAAAACAAGAAAAGCAACAATATGAACCATAACGCAACATGCATGTTTCTGTACTGTGGTGGGGAATTTCCATTAACTTCTGTAATTTTTATACTGAATAAATACCTTTATGCTTAACATATGCTTAATCTCTGTGACCCCAAAAATTTAGGTTCACAGTCACTTGTTTAATGAAGTAAGGACATCTAATAAACTGCCAATGTTTTTATACCAGGTGAGGTTAATCATATTTACATAATCACCTAATCCAACTTAACCCCAAAACAAAAATCTAGCGAGGTCCAGCTTACTAATCGCCGTTCAACAGTTTTCACTATATTTTAAGGACATGTTGAATGGCCCAGACACTTTAACCCTCACAAATTTTAAACACAGTACACTGAATTATGTCAAACCGGATTTAAAAAAAGGGACAGAGGGATCTCACTAATACAATTTTAAGTAGCTTGGTTATTCTGGGTCTGCATTAATAAGCACAAGAACAGAACACAAATATTTTTACTTTATTATTAGCTAAAGTCATTTTTAAAAACTGAACTTTCATTCACAGGTGAATGCAAAACCATGCAGACACTGATCAGAGCTCACGCTGCTTCCTCTAGCTCAAAATCATGAACAAGGGTATCATTGAGGTCATCGGGGCCAAGTATCCAATGATTTTTCTTCTGAGTAGAAATCTAAAAACACAGATTCAAGAACGGATCACTTACACACAAAAAGGGAAAGGGGAACCGCTTCCTTTACGATCCTACCTTTTCTTCAAAAAACTCTTTAAGTATAGAGTTTAGATCAGAACTTTTACCACTGCGATCGTCCATCTAAATGACGAAAACATCATAAAAACCAAAAATTGGTCACTTGCATGATTGATGACTTCCTAGGTCCTTCTCTCAACTTACTTTGCTATGGTGCCGCTCAGACAAACACTCATCCATGTCGAAGTCCTCATTCATGCAGTTCTCCTAAAAACACAGATGAACACCATTTTATACGAAACCTAATCAATTCCCAATTCATGGCTTGTATGATCCATTGTGCTTGTAGAAGTAGTTGTAATGTATCTCTGTGGAAAAACACTATTCAGACACCTCTAATTAACACATTTATCGTCATAAAAATTAACTACTTATGTTTCACACTTAAAAGGCGTTTTAAACGTAGGCCTATGTTGAGGAGGACATAATGGGAGCGTTCCGAATCAGGTGAGCTCGAGATCAATCAGAATGCACTTATCATGATTAAAATACTTTCCAGAGATCACACAATGTTTTGAAACAACAACCATAAACATTGTTATTGAAAGGACGAAAATCACACCTACCATTCTCATTAAACTCAGTAGGCTATCTGTGTAATTTAAGAGTAACCCGCGAGCGTGTCAGGAAGACCTAAAATGGAACATTAACTAACGGCTGGTGGCAATTTGTCTTGGTTCACACACGGTTAGCAAATTAACGTTAACAGATTTCAAGTTCATTGGTGAGCTAATTAACAAATCCTTCGGCACTCGTGCAGCGATAACGTTTTTTCTTCCATGTTGTGACGTATATCTGAGTGAAAACCACTGTAAAAGTGAAAAACGGATACTTGGGCAAGAAAAAATGTAGAACGAGATTTTCTGAAATCGTTTGGGAACTATTGTAAATGTAATAGTTTAATATTGCTGCTAATGCTATCGTGTTAGTGAGTGACCGGTTGTTCGGCCCTCGCGACAGGGAACACGTCATCAGAGTTGTCACTGGAAGTGGGAAGAAGTTTAAATTACACCATTTTAATTCAAGATTATTCCTTTTGTGATGCTGAAGACGAATATATCTTTCATCTTTTCTGGGAATGCAATGCATATACAATTTTGGAAGTATTTCTGTATCTTGTAAGCACATTTTCATCACAGCATTTGGTCAGCACAACTTTGATAAAGATGTAAAGGACCAACATTTTTTGATAAACTTATTTATTCTTCTAGGCAAATGTTTCTTACACAAATGAAAATTCCAGGGTGAAGCCCTACTTTTTCATTTTTTTAAGGAACTTATAAGTACCATTTAAAATCACCTGGACACCTTACATCCAGCTCCTTAGAAACTCTAAAGCCCTTAAAACTGTCACCGTGTCGTTTGTATGATATTTTTCCTGATTTCGTAACATGTAATTGTACTCTCAATGGTATTTACCCCTGGCATTGATTATGTGTGTTCTTAGCAATAAAAAAAAATAAAAAAAGATTACCAGTACATGCATATAAATAAATAAATAATGAGGATGTGCACGGGTAAACTGTTATAATAAATACTGCAATAATCTATAAAAAAAAAAAGAATGTAATCGATCCAATAGTGACTTTACTTATAACACTTGCAGTGATAGACTGCAAACAGTCTTAATTTGAGTCAGTTTAAATATCAATATTCCATAAATACTGCAATAATCTATATATAAAAAAAATGTAATCGATCCAATAGTGACTTTACTTATAACACTTGCAGTGATAGACTGCAAACAGTCTTAATTTGAGACAGTTTAAATATCAATATTCCAAAAATCTTGTGATAGTACTTCACCATACAATAAATTTCACACATAAAGGTTTAAAATGAAATAACGCACAGCTATAGCCAAATGCTGTAATACATTCTGATAACACTTTACAATAAGGTTCATTTATTAAACATTAGTTAATGTATGAACTAACCATACTGTTTTTGTTAATCTTAGTTAATACAAATCCAACTATTCATTGTTTGTTCATGTTAGTTCACAGTGCATTAAGTAATGTTAACAAGATTTTAATCAAGTATTAAGAAATATTGAAATTAACATTAACACAGGTTAACAAATACTGAAGTATTGTCATTCCTATTGTTAACTAATGTAGTTAACCTTGTGTTACCTATATTTGTTTCCTTACTGTTATACAGTACATAATGATTTACAGATTTAAATAGAAACTATTAATAGCAAGAAAAGTCATAATTAAGAGAATTGTTCTGTAGCCCATCTTATCTTATTAAGGCTGTGCAACATTTTGCCAATGACTGAACTAAAAACAAACAATAAACAAGCTTTTTCAACAAAAATGAGGCGATGAAAGAAAATACTTTATTACTGTATCAGTAGGCCTGAAAAACAAAAAATGTAGATGTAGTACAGAACCTTCTTAAGATTCATTAAAAAGCACACAACCACTAACTGAAAAAAATGTCACACCCTCTCAACAATGGGCCTCGTGACAAGAGAGGTAAAAAGGAAAATTACAACTTTTTTTTTTTACATAAAGTTCCAGGTATAAAAAAAAAGAAAACAAAAATATATATTTAACCTACAAAACTCCACAGATGATGCATGTGAACAGTCCAACAAAACAACCTTTTCAGAAATGCAAACGCATTATTGTTTCTGTTGCATAGCTTCTTTGCGTGCAGCATCCTGTAGTAGCTGTGTGTCCACTTCATCCGCAGGAAGCTGTACATACCGCACCACTGATCCACGGATAAAGCAGTTCTTCACCGACAACTAAAACAATACAAAATATTAGAGTCATTTCTATAGATGTAGTTCTCCTGAGAGTGTTCATCAGTTGAACACCTGCTCAAGCTCAATATTACATTTCATTCTTGAATGTAAAGTGCCTGAGGTTCCAGGCACAGAACAGATTTCTGCCATATAATTACTTCTCTTTTCAATCTATTAACTGATTATGTGGTTTAATTATTGTGCACACCCACACAATACTTCCTAATCTATAACAAACAACACAATTGACAAGCTCTCACCATGTGCGGATATTTCTCTGGATCAGTGACACTGATATCTGTCAGTTTGATGTTCAAATACTGTGAAGGAGAACAATTTTAATTTTAAAAGTCACACAATATTTGCTTGGATTTCAACAAAGCAAGGTTTGTTGCCATACCTGATCAACTGAGTGTAATGTTCCACATATGCTGCAAAGTTGAAAATCAGAATGTAGTAAGTTTCTACACTGTGCACATATTATATTTTTAAAAGTATGACACGCATAAAACAGAAAGTGCTTACCTCAAGTCATTCTTGAGCTCCACCACAACATCTTTGCCGACCAAGGACTTGAAGAACGAGTAGAAGAGCTGAGGAATTAAATGTTTGAATGTTACATTCATATTATGTTCTCACATGAAGAACAAGAATTGATTAAACATGTGATTAAAAACATTGATTAAAATTGATTAAACAAATTAAAAATGTGATTAAACCTGTGAAATATACTGTCAAGACAATGAGAGAATCCATCAGATATCAAACACTGAAAGGAAATTACACTAGGCTACTCGGAGAGCTAACTTAGCCGTTAGCAGACTGCGGTGATTATTAATTCCTCGCCAACGGTGGTGAACAGTAAACAATAAAACATGTTACATATTGCAAAAGGATTCATTTGGTCTATGCAAAATGTATATACGTTTTGTAGGTAATCCCCATTATATGTTATTGCTAAATAACAACACTTACCATTTTCACGCGGTTTTGTGCTTCTGGTCACTTACGTCATCAAAAAGCTGCCGGTTTCTTTTATCTTCGTGTTTCCATTGGCTAAACGAATTCTCCATTGGGGAAGAGATTTTGCGTCTTCTGTACGCGTCTCGGCATTAAATCCCTCACAAACACTTAAAAAATGATCTAATCAATTATTTTTAGATAAAATATTTTATACAAATAATAAATGAATGTCAGAAGATCAACTTTTACTTTACTCACACGGCTTGCTAACAACATCCTATCCCTCCTTTAATAAGAGAATATCGTGTAATTCCCCTCTATCACCAGCAGATAGAGGCACAGACCATATAACGTGTGCCATTCTCTTCTATATTGAACTGTCCCTTTATCAAACTAGGTAAGCAAGCACTACTACACTTCTCCAATGCCACAAAGCCTACTGTAAAACAAGTGGTGTGAGGGCCGGCCATCATCTTATCGTAAATACTAAGAAAACAGAAGAAATAATTCTTGATCCAGGACATATCATTCTCCATTACTGGTCCACAAAATTTGTATTACCCAGGTTTGTTATTACAAATACTTGGGTGTACATATTGACTGTACTCTGTCTAATACAACAGCAACTTTACTTTCAACTTGACTCTGGGTGTTTGGGATTGGACAGAGGGTAATGATGTTATTGTGTCATTCTGTGATAGAGACTGTATTACGTTACGAATTGTAGCCTATTTTGGTAACATACCAGTGAAGTTAAAATCACAAATAAATAGACTGGTTCATAAAGCAATGGAAGTGATGTGGGTGACTCCCTCCAAATTCTTTCTGAGACCATTAACAGGCTAGGACAATAATAGCAGAACCCTCCCATTTCCTGCATTCAGAGTACGAGCTGCTTCCATCAGATCCAATTTAAAAAGCACAATATGTCTGAATAGGTATAAAAATGATTTTATCCCTTTATCACTGAATCTTCTAAACTCAGAATATAAGGTGTGTGTGAAATGAGGGGCTGTGTTGTAGGTGCTGAATGCACTTATGTCTGTACTTGTTAATGTACTATAACTGTATGTATTTTTATGTGTTAGCCTGTATGTCCAAGACTTGAATCTTGGTTTCCTTGGTGGCCTAAATATTAAAACTCAAGTCATTATAAAGTGTGTTTCCAGACCAAAAAAAAAACAAAAAAGCCAATAACTGTACAATACTTGGTTTTATTAGAAGATTACAACTTTTAATAAAATAAGCAATATGAAATGTTGAAACACAGGTTGATGGAAAGATTCCTCTATTTATTACTATATGCAGTAACATTCAAACTGTTGAAACATTCATAATCATTCTGAAATCAATATCCAAGTTTCTTTTATTGTAATGCACTTATTAATTTGAGTACACAGAGATTAAGAAGCTTATGGCTTGTGTCCAGTACAGAGTTTCAAGTATGAGATATGAATATCCCACCAGCGCTGAAAGGTATCTTGCAATGGCATACCAATAGAAAATCATTTTAAAGGCCGTCCCATCTTCAGAGGTTGCGACGACTCATTGTGCACTGAGGAAAGATGTTGCAAATGAAAAAGGGAAAATTAATAAAATAAATGTTGAATAATTAAATATATATTACAATTACATAAACCATAAATACATTCTTTGTAGTATCAAATATCTAATTCTTAAGTTTTTATTAGTTACACTACCAGCCAAAAGTTTAAAATAATTCAGATGGTTTTTTTTTAAATAAATCTCTACTAAAGCTGGATATATTTGATCAAAAATACAGAAAAACAGTAATATTAATATTATTACACTAAAATATTATTAATATGTTTTAAACAAAAATAGTAAGCACGCAGCACAGCTGTTTTCTACATTGATAATAAGAAGAACAATGAAGACTGGATTAATGAAACTGAAAATTCTGCATTTAGCAAAATTCAGCTGTGATTTCCATCACAGGAATAAATTACATTTTAAGAATTACACATATAGAAAAAAAGTTCTGTAAAATTGCAATACTATTTCATAATATTACCGCTTGTACCATGGGCATCGCTAGACCCCTTTTACTGTGACACAAGCCCCATACCCATAAAATATTACTGATACAATCTTATTGTGTCAAAATCATTTTCTCTGAGAATATTTCAGCAATCATGTGGTGTGATTTCTATCAGTGGTTTGCTTGTCAATGACAATAATTGCGTGTCAACAACTCTATCCTTTAGGTAAAGATAATTCACATCCATTTATATCAAAAACAATATTTAAAACAGTATCAAAATATAGACACACTTTTTTTTGATGGTGTCACGTGCCCCAGTACTGATGAAAGGCTAGAAACGCCTCTTGTACTGTATTTTTGATCAAATAAATACACCCTTGGTAGGTATATAAGAGAGTTATTTCAAAAAGCATTATACATAGTGTTGTCATGATTATTTTTGAGACTAATGGATTGGGTTAGAACCCATTATAATCTGCTTGAAATACACTTGAAGGATGAAGGATGAGATAGAAAGCCCTGATCTATAGTCTTCCACAAGGAAGGAATGTGTAGCATGTAGTTATCATACCATCTTTGGGTTGGCCTGGTCTGGTTTGTGGTCGTATCTTGGATGGGAGCTCTGAGCTGTCTCTGTAGTCTCTAGGCTTTGGTTGAAGCTCTTGTGGCTGACCAGAGCGAGACTTCACAGGAACCGGAGGTCTGTTGGGCCCAGTCATGCCCCCTTCAGAGCGAGAAGGCACCACAGGCTTCTTGGTGATGATCTGGGATTGTAGACCGCTGCTCATGATGTTTGTGGCTGAGGATGAGGGAGGTTTGGTTTCTGAACAGGTGAAGGAGCGATAGCGGGGGGTCGGAACAGGGGCCTGGCGATCAGCGTCAAGGTCTGTTTTGGGGAAGGAGAAGTGAGGATCTGGAGGAGACAGATGGTCTTTCCCCCCTCGTGATCCACTCATTGAGCCATAAAGGGGATTGTCAAACATCTCTGGTGTTTTCCCATCCTCAGATCTGTAGCCAAAGACAAATATGCACAATTTTATTTAGAGAATTAATCTGGAATCACTTTAAAGGGGACATATCATGCTAAATCCACTTTTTTAGCCCTTAAATGCTTTTTGTTGTATATTTGGAGTGTTTATAAGTACAGAAAAGTTGAAATTATTCTCTTCAGGTGCTTCGTTTATATCTTTATATTCTGTTTTGGTCATATTTTTCAATCTTTTCAGATTTGTCTGTTATCTATGACATATTTTGAACAATTAAGTCACAGTATGCAGCGGAACTGCCAAATAAGGACTTTGACTAGTGGCCCAACACTTCGAGCAAACTGCCATTTTTATTTCTCGCTCCGATTTTGTAGTCCAAGCTCAAGGATGCAGAAGTTACAAGAGGAGAAGTCAAAATGTTCGGTTGTTGGATTTAGTGACCCACACGCTTCATTACACCGTCTGCCAGCAGCATCAGAACCTCTTCGAAGTGCCTGGTTGAGTTTCATTTATAAAGGAATTTTTTATTTATAAAGGAAACCATAAGTTGATGGGGTTTTTTAATGAATGCCAATAATTGGCAGATTCTACACTAAAACCTAAAAAAAAATCATTGTTTAAGTGCTAAAAGTGAATTTAGGCATCACAACATACCATAATATACAATATGAAAAATGGATTCATTCTGAGATTATATTTAGCTGTGTTTTTAAACTAATAGTTATTAACTTTGAATGTTACATGACAACAAAAATGGTCTAAATGTAAAGAAGGGGAAATGATCATGCACAATAAGTATCCATCATCGACTGATATTGATCAATTAAAAAGTCTAATTTGTCAGATAACCTTTAACTAAACCAAAGACTTTTGTCAGATGACATGATGGATATACAGATGATGAGATAAAGGAGATAAAAATGTGAGGTCACACTTTAATTTAGGGTCCAATTCTCAATATTAACTATGAACTACAAATTTTGCCTCAATAAAACTCCTAACTACACATTATTAATAGTTGTAAGGTAGTTATTAAGTTTAGATTTTAAGTTTGTGTGGAATTAAGGGATGTAGAGTGAGAGCATTAATATGTGCTCTATAAGTCCTAATAAACAGCCAATATCCAAGTAACATGCTTGCTAATATGCAACTAGTTAATCGTGATCGAATTGGACCCTAAAATAAAATGTTACCTAATGTCAAAATATACTTACACAGGGTTTGATGTCTTTGCAGTTGGGCTGGATGTAGCATGGTCATAATTAGACTTTTTTGGGGAGAGATTGCCATGCGTCATGTCCTTTGATGAATGTCCAGAGGTTGGCCCTGTTCTAGGGGACATAATGTTGCTGGCGCCCCTGTCTGTCTGGTTATTGCTCTTGTAGCCTACGCCCATATAACTGGGGTTACTTATATCAGAGGCGAGGACTGAAGAAGACCTGTCAAAGAATGTCAAAGATATATAATTGTACAAACATAACCGAATCTAAATTTTTCTAATAACATCATTTTGAAAAAGCAATTAAATAATAACATAACATTTTGGATATAAGAATCTGTTAAGTAAATGTAAATAGAAACGAGGGAAAATGCGAATATTTTACATTTTGCTATTATCTCCTGATTTCCCTTTACCAGCTCCTGGGTCATCTCCGATTTTAATGAAATCTGGAATAAAGAAAAATAATCTTAAGGAAAGGAACATACTGTAGCCTCGAAACTCGGTAAGTAAAGCATTATATCACAATCCAGGATTGGTTGTGTCAGCCATTGCTGTACAGAAACACATTGTGCACTCACCATAGAGCTTCTCTGCCTGTTTTCCTTCAGATTTGGGGAGTTGAATGCCACCCGTTAGATGGCCTGTGTGCTCACCATGATGGGTGAGTTTGATAGAGAACTCAGTGTAAGAGCTTTCAGCAGAACGCAGAGCAACACAGCCCTCACCTACAGACAGAGCGCAGCGTTATTGTGTTGGAATGCATACGACTATTCCGATACTAATCAGAATATGGTCTTATTCTGATTGTGTAAGCATCATGTCTACACATGCTATAACCAGATAAAGTCAATATTCCAGTTTTTAGAAATCCATATGCCATCATGTTCATCAGAATTTCAAGTCACGTAAACACTTTATTCGGAATATTCACCATGACTGAACTATCTTTTTAACATTCAACATTTATTCAGTTTATTTGGAATGTTCTGATATCGTGTTTACAGGAATATTCCAATAGTTGTGATGCATGTTAAACATAGTTTTCCTAATAAACTATGAACCTTAAAAATGAAATCAGAAAAGGATGTGCTTAGCCAACTAGAATTACGATTATGTGAGTAATAAACATTCACAGATTTTAGGTAACCCTTACCATATGACTCATCACAATCTGTAGATTTAATGCAAATGAGTATGTGCTGATCAAGGAGGTATTCTGGGTCTGCAATGATGGGCGTGAGCTGCAAAGTGATTTCACAAAGATAATGTAAACGTGATGGCTGAGCTTGCAATGTATACTGTATACTTTTTTACCGAGTTTTTACCTCAACTTGTCCCCCAAATCGTACTTTTATTGAGCCCTCAGTGTTCTCTTGGTTTTCTCCTTCAGGACTCTTCACAAACTCTAGAAAATGAATAGGAATTATTTAACTTCACTTTTCTCTTTTTGGAGTAGCTTATGTGATCTTCTAAAGAAAAAAGGTGTAGGATTCAAATGCTTTGTGATCATTTAAGACAGAAAAGAAAGTAAAAAGCATATAGCTCCTCCTCACTCTCCAAGCAGCTTGAGTGATACTCAATGAAGAACTTGGTCTTGGATTTAGTCAAAAGGATAGCCACACAGTTCATGATCTTTATAGCACCCTGAGCATCCGTTGACAGGTCTGTAAAGAGCAAAAGAGTCCATCGTTAGTGAATTACCACAATGCACAAGACAGCTGGCTGGGATGCAAAGTCTCTCTATTAAAATGGGGTTGTTGCCATAGTGAAATATTTACAACATCATACCATTTTTTGAGACAAACTGAGAAGTCACACCAACATCAAATGTGGCAAATACAGGGGAATGGTCACTTGTCATGATATCATTGGTGCATCCTATTAAAATCAAAGAAAAATATTGGTTAATGTAGTGATGTCTTTCATGCGCATTTATACAACTTGCATTTTAAATATAATGAACTAACCATATGAGTTGCAAACCACATGCACCATAGGGTAGGACTTGCGAAGCACACGATCACACCATGAAGGCAAGTTGTATTTTGTCTGTTTGTGAGATAAAACATTTATGTAAGAAGGATTTTCATCATTAAATTCAATTTTATAATATATCTGCTGCATGGGGAAGGTTGTTCAGATGTATGGTGGCTTTCACGCTATACCCCTGTGGCTTTGGCTTTAGTGTAGGCATATCTCTCCCGTGTGTCTCTCTCAAAACGATACGTGGGAGCAAATGTAATCTCCTCCTCCACTGTAAAGTAAAAAATATGAATGGCATGGAATCTGATATTAAGCATGCTTCTATTCCTCAACAAGTTTGGCATAACACACCTTGTTGACATTTATATGTATAGTACGGTGCAAAAGTTTGGGGTCAGCAGGATTTTGTTGGGGAAAAAATAATACTTTTATTGAGTGAGTATGCATTAAATGGGTCAAGTGAGACAGTAAAGACATTTTAAAACTTTAAAGAATCCTGAAAATAATCCTAAAAAAAAAATTAAGCAGCACAGCTATTTTTAACATTGATAATAATAAGAAACATTTCTTAAGCATCAAATCAGCATTAGAATGATTTCATATCATGTGTCACTGACTGGAGTAATGATGCTGAAAATTCAGCTTTGCCATAACAGGGATAAATTACATTTTAGAGATAATAGAATAGAAAACAGTTTTTTTCATTGTAAACATATTTTAATATTATTTTTTTTTAAATAAATGCAGTCTTTGAGCATGAGAGACTTTTATCAATCTTTAGACTTTTTTAAAAATCTTACCAACCCCACACCAACAGTCAATGTGTTTTTTCTAAATTTGGTTTATAGTACCTTATATAGTAGTTTGATGTTAGGTTAAACCTCACTGGATATGCAAAAATGATAATACAATACAAACTATGAAAAGAAAATCTGGTTTGGATTAAAGTTAGAAAAACCTCCAGTGAACTGAAAATTTCTAACTGACTCAAAGTGTGTGGATTTTTGTTTTGTTTTTTGATAATAAATATGCTCATATCCCATCCCATATGTGTAGAGAAACTATAAGTGAGCCATTCACAAGTAGAAGTGTAAACAGTGTGGCGATTTCAACATTGCTCTATTTGTTTGACGTCATTTTGTAGCAATATTGTCTAAACTAAAGGGTGATTTGGTTAGGACCACCTGTTTGGTGTAGGGATGGATATTGAGTAACTTTGTAGTTGAGTAATCAGTTAGCCAAAAAATATATATTGGTAATTAAAATAATAGATAAATTATGTACAAGTGCATGACCAATAATAGTTTCAAACTAAAAAAAGCTAGATTAGACAAAGAACTTAAATTATGATAACAATATTTTTATCATTGTATATGTTCCTATTCTATGGGCACAAAAGCTTATATGTTGTGGTTAAAACTGATTCTGTATATCTGCAGTGAGTTTAGGTCAATGAAAGAAAGGTGGCCGTTCTCACCGTATTCTAAGAAGACCTTTCTCTCTTCCCTCTCTATGGTCAGCTGATCTCTTGCCAGCAGTTCCTGATACTGCTGCTGTTTGATCTTCATCACAATGTTCTCAGCTTCCTGCAAAGAGCAAACAACTATGCAAAGCTTCTGTCTTTTCCTGTCAGTTGATGACAGGAGCTGCAGTACGTGGCAGCTCTTTTCTTAATAGAGGAACTGCCTTTTCATATACAAGAAAGTTCTCTGAACAACAAAGGCAGTTCATGCCTTGAAATATCATAATGTGGGTAACTGATGCATAATTTGTCCCTAGACACCTTTTTTATCAACATGAAGAGTGTTTAAAATAGATAAAAATGTCCTCAATGGATCATTTTAAACGGTTCTGCGGTGTGACAAATGAAGTCTCACTTCATATGAACTCATGAAATTTACATGCATAGTAACAATAAAAAATGAATAAAATAAAAACTTAATTTGTAGACTTAAAATAAATTTTGCAATCAAATAAGTTATAAAATTACCTCTAAAGTGGTCAATTACTACTATCAGATAGAAAATAAAAATAGTAGCTGATATGAAGCATTTATTTTCTTGTGTTTATATTTGACATGCATTAACAATAGAGTATACTTAGAAGCTATAATTACAAAATCTTAATGTAATTCAAACAGCTTTATTTCACCCCCGTTGCAAAACTGTTCAAGATACCTATTTGATATAAAGTTTCCAAATGAACGAATTGTCATCGTTTACCTAGATGCATTTACTGGAAAAAGCATGTTTGCTGATTAACATTCATTTGAACCTACCTGTGATGGTAGGTCAACCCTATAATTCAGATCCCCCAGCCAGAAGAGGTGTGTGAAGCGATGTGTGATGTCAAAAGGATTAAGTTTCTTATCTCCCAGATTCAGAAAACGCAGAATACTGATGTAGTTCTGGTTTCGCCTAGAAAAGGTACAGTAATCAAGTTACTACATTTATAATGATTATTATATTATTAATCATGTTTATTTTATACCAATGTCTAATTAGTCGCACTGACAGGTTTTTGGGTTGTGGCTTACCTCAGTTTCTTTTCACTTCCTGAGGTCAGGTGACTGTTGACAAACCCAAATGAGGTTCTATTAAACATAAAAGACACCCCCACTGCTCCTTTATTCCCTTTAAACACACATACACACATAATTAGCATTTTTACATCCAACAAAGTAGAACATAAAGCTTGCTTTGCTTTCCTATTAAAAGTTTGGGGAAACGGCTATCAACAAACCCAGAGCATTAGCTATGCCAGTCTTAACACTATCAGAGAAGACGTGAGAGAAGCGGTTCTCATGTTCAGGCTTGGCTAGAACCACAATTCGTATACTCCACAGTGTCTGAGTGGCTATCTGTTAAAAAAAGCACAAAAAAACACATAGTTGTCTTCATATACGGAAACCACATAGGGCACCCGAAGCCTTATTGTTGGGTTTTGTGTCACTCACTTGTTTGAAGCTAATGTTGGTTATATCCCTAAGGGCTCCCCTAACGGTTTCTATCCAATCCTTCTCTCCCATTGGGTCCTCCTGTGTCCCAATTACATAGATATCATGTGGGATTTGATTGGCTGTGTCATCATGGGTTTTTCCCTGACCCTTTGACTGCAACCAGGAAGTGATGTTTTGTGGTGGATTCGCATTTCCTGAATGGACAGCACAAGTTGATCTCTAGTTAGTGTACATTTAGTCGCTTATACCAAAAAATTGTACTTACAGTTATAATATAGTATTAGTGAAATTAATAACCATTTATGTGCACGTAAAGACAGCACAATTTCAAGACTGTGTTACTAATGTCAAATTAAAGGTTTTACTTGAAAGTACAATCATTTTGCTTTAATAATTTAATTTTGTCATGCTTTGAAGTAGTTCATTTGGTGTCTTGACCTTACATTTGATATTACATTTAAAGTTAATATATTTTAAATGTTCTAAATTACAACTTAATTATTACAAATATGAAATTATATGCATGATATGACATAAAAAATAAATGACATTTAAATATGTTTTAGTTTACCATAAATGCGTATCGGTACATTTGTCAATTCACTTTAACCATATTTCATAGACAATAAAAGTAATTATGAAATTACATATAAAAACACTCTAAACTGTCTCATTTATAGTTAAACGGCAAGTTCAGTATTTTACACTTAAAGTGAATTTTTTTTTTTTTGCAACCACAGAAACCAAAATTTCTCGGGCCAGAAGCATGTGTCAAAATTTTAATCATAACCGTTCTATTTTATCAGAAACGATTTTAAAACAGGGCTTTGAGTGTAAAATATCGAACTTGCCCTTTTAACTATAAATGGCATGCCATTAAGTGTTTGAAAACATTACATTCAGTTCATACTGAATTCAGTTGAAGTATCTTCATTTATATTATACTAGTATATTATTTATGTAATAAGTTTAAATATGCTAAAGTGAGATTATATATATATATATATATATATATATATATATGAAAAAAGTGCTGTACATGTTTAAAAAAAAATATATATAAATATATATATATATATATATATATATTTTTTTTTTTAAACATGTACAGCACTTTTTTCAAAAATATCTGAATTCAGGAGACCTTGAGTAGCTTTTTTGGACTAAATAACTAAATAAACTGAAATGTATATATGTTAATAGGCTAAATGCATCTTACCCATGTTCCAGGTGCCAACAAATATGGTGATCATATCCGGCTCAGGTTTTCCTGAGTGCTTGTTCTTCATCTGCTGTAGAAGCTGGCAGAAGCCTTCTCTTTTCTGAAAAGGTGTTTTGAGATACTCATTTACACGCAGGATCGCATTAAAATCACACACAAAAACAAAACATCCATACAAAATACAACTGTAATAGTTGGAAATGTCCTGCCAACTATTCCAGTGGGATTTTTACCTTTGTGTCATCAAAGACATAGTCTTTGCGCTGAGTTTTTTCCTTCTCTGTCTCGACCACCAATGCTAGTCTGTTATGCATCTTCTGTGACTTCACCAACTGCAAGACTGAAAATTAAGAATTTGGCATGTTGCCATTATTTACTAGTTTATAGGTAATTTCACACATTTTGGTTACATGGCTCTCGGGAATACAAGATTCTGATTGGTCCATCACAGAATTCAGAGGTCAAATATTTAGTATAATGACCACCACTGAACTGTATATTTGACTATTGTGACTTGCAACCGATATATTTTGAATTTGAACCCAGTGTTTCTTTGCAATTTCTTTTACATAAGAAAATAAGTTAAAGTAAACAGCATTATCGCAACCCTTAAGGATGAAGACTGCTTTGCGTTTGGGTCCTGATAATCCTATCAAGGTTTATTTTTGCAATAAAGGCCTGCGGAATTGTCGATATTGAAAAATCGTAATCACATTCAAATGTATGTGGTTATGTAAGTGATGAAGTGGTTCAGCATACTTTTATTGTGCACAAAATATTTATCCTCAGGTCCATCTTTGGACTTCTTGAAGTAAACCTTCCCGCCTTCCACGTCTACTTTAAGATACGTTTTGATTGATATACCGAGGGAGTCACATTTGACCTGTTAACACAGAAAAGGACATTAAAGTAAAAATGAGTTCAGCATTTCTGATGTGCCAAAAATAGTTATAAAGGTTATCTATCTCTGATGGCTGTGAGCAGAGGCAAATGTTACCGCCAATCGCCACATAGGCAAACATAACTCTAATTTGCATGTGGTTTTCGAGTGCAAAGCAGTCGCAATGAAAACCTCCATGCTTTCATTGTTATGACATCATTACAAGCAGGAAGAAGGTTACAGGTTATGACTTTCACTTCGGATACGGAAATCAAACTACATGAATTTTATACAGTATTTACGTTTATTTATATATTTATGTGCTAATCAACAAAGCAATTAAATACTTTATTTAAAAAAATAGGAAACACTTCACAATAAGGTCTGATTTGTTAACTAATATTAATAAATGCTGTAATATTGTTTGTTAACTAATGTTAACTAAACCAACAATGGTGTATTTATTGTTGAACTGAATTGCTTACTTCGAACATCACAGGAGGAATAAGTGACTTTCTGTGCCCTCCATCATATCCGACAAAATCAAACACAGCATTCTTGGTCTGTAAATAAGAGGGTTGGTTAGTCACGGCTCTGTGGAATGCTTGATTCTGATTGGTCAATCACGCCATCCAGCGTTATGTTATTCCCAGATAACAACAACTGAAAACAGATAACACAGGCTCATCCAGGTGAAATCAGCAGCGCTATATACACTTGCTAGGAACCTTTTTTCTTCATGAAAGTTGTTGCTAATAAAATATTAAAACTTTATACTAAATATATTAATATATTTATATTAAATCTTTATATTTAAAAAATGTATTTTTGTACAGTTATTTAATTATGTCATACAGTATCGTGGACTCGCTCTCTCTTGTTTCATACAAATGTGGTTGCTGCCATTTTGCAACTATTGTTTATTACGGTACATTATTGGATTATAAAATAACAAACAGGTACGGTTTTAATCTAAAATCTCAAGTCAAATCTCAGCTCAAATCAATATCTCGTATCCCCATAATTATTTATGTGGTGAAATGCTGTGTAATAAGTGGTACAGTATGACTGAACCATATCAAATGTCCATCTAGTTCAAACTTGCCATGCTAGCTACTGTTCTCTCCACGGATGCTTTGCGTTTAAAGACCTAATAAAATATTTCAACTCAGATCAATATTTCGTATCTTATTATTTACTTGTGGCAAGTATAGGCTATATTACTGTATGTGGCAAGTAGCCGTGTAATAACTGGCTAATAATAAGCACTTTGCGTCAGGGTCCTGATCACCCTGTTGGGGTTTATTCTGACTGGATGTACATTATCCCTGAATTAAAGTTCCCAACTTCCCAATAAGATTTTCATTTAATTTAATGTTTGCTCTCATCCAAAAATAAAAAACAGTGTTACCTTGTCTTCTATTGAATATATAAGCTTAGTCAGTTGCTCCAGTTTGAAAGCCACGGACTGATTTGCATCTCCAGAAAGCTGGAAAAGAGTAAAATCAACAGATATAAGTAAAAAAAAAATTAAAAAAAATAGTGGGGGGGGGAAACCTCAACATACCACTTTTTTGTACATATTATTGCGGTTCTCATTTCTCTACTTGTCTGTAAGGGAAACAACAAGTGTTTCAACACATTTATTGGTTCTACCATCTGTAATAAAAACTACTATGAAATTTAGGCCTATTTTTTAACCCCTAAATCATGTAAATCAGTAAAAAGTCAGATACAAAGAGGACTGTTGTTACAAGCTATTCCAATGCCTTGTAAGTTTGGGTCTTTTACATTTTTGCATGAAACTGAACCCTTCCTGGTTTGATTCAGGATTTGCTTACTGACCTGACTCCTTAGTCTCCCAGCTCCAGGAGACAGTGGTGGATCCAAAACTTTCTGCAGTGCCTCAAGACTCGGAAGTGTGCGAGCAATTTCACTACGAGCAAGTAGGAATGTCAATTAATGTAAATTAAAAGCACAATAAATACAATGTCAGTACCAAAACATTCATATAAGGATAATAAGGTTTCAGAATTCACACAATTTTCAGAACAATTTTACCTGTTTAGGATTTTGCAGATACTCTGTATGAGCTTTTTTAAGTGAGGAAGAGTCGGGTTCCCATTCTGCACCTGTTCTGCATCCAGACACACAGATGTGCGGAAATACTCCTGAATGGACTTCTGGTGGTCCTCTGATAGACTGGACATTGAACATCAGAATCATTAGCACACCAGAAAATGGCTACTCGAGTAAATAAATTCAAAATAAATAAAATAAGAAAATAAAAATAAATTACTTTGATATGTCGATTTGCTGCAAACGCTGGAGATAGGTGTCTGAGATGGAGGGCCGGGCAAGCTCTGTTCCTCTATCGGTTCCTCTGGACGAATCACTGTGGCAATCTTTACTTTCATTACCTGAGATATTCCTGGGTGGCAACTGAGGCGGCAAAATAATTTGTTCTGTGGAAATGGAGATTTGACCAAACAGTTTTCTTGAAGTTAATGGAACCAACTTCAAACCTTACATTTTACTGTCACATAGTTCTCAACATTACAGCCAGCTCAAAAAGTATGAGACCACATTAAAATAATGGAGAAAAAAAAGAAAAAGATAGGCTACCATGATTTAGCGCTTTAATCCAGTGGTTCCCAAACTTTTCTTGCCAAATTTGTTCACTTTGTTGGAATAAACGGGGTTTAACTTACTTTCGGGAATCTGTCGTGTCGCCTCACAGACAGCATCACTGATTATAATGGGTTCCAATAGCTTTTGTGTAACGTTAAACAACATGATTTGACAGTAGTGAGAGACGTTTTAAGTATATTCTGCTTTATGTGTTTACCTGCCACTCGCAATCCTTTCACACACTTTTTGATGCTGAAGTGAGGCGAGGAACGATGCAGCCTCGTATTTTTACACAGCTCCCTACAAACTCAATCCTGATTCTTCAATCGCCGCGTGCCATCTAGTGGACTGTTATTAGGCCCTACCGACAGCAAACACGACCATCTATGTGACCACGACGGCCACTGACATTCCGCTCAAGCACCCCCCTTAGTCAATAATTTTATCCCTTAAAAGTCATCTTTGATCACCAAAATTAAATATTTAAAAAATAATAATAATTGATAAAATCAGCACGCAAATCTATGCAAATTAGCCCCGCCCCGCCCACTCGTCACCAGCTCAGAGATCTCGTTGATGTGTGATTGTTTACAAGTATGTGATGTCAGAAACACCAGCGATTTCCGTGTTTTTTTTTTTTTTGTTGTTGTTGTTTTTGTTTTTTGAGACTGTCTTTTGTTCACTGCAGTTTTAAAGGGGTCATATAATGCCATTTTTGTACAAGTTAATGTTTAGGGTCTAAATGAAAACTTTGTAATATACTTTTATTAAAATTTTGTATTCGTATAAAAGTATTTTTAAGGAAACACTAATTTTACCTGCTCAAAATCAGCTCTGTTTTCAGCACGCCATTTCAGTGCATATGCCTTTAAAGGAGAATTCCAGTGCAAAATGAACCTTTGGTCTAATAAAACATCGGTAGGCTACCAGTCAACCGTTCTCTGAGATTTGTTTTCATGATAATCGAATTTAAAGAGTTTAATCTTTCCAAAAACTGTTCAGCGTATAATGCTAGTACTGGCGGCATTTACTAAGTAAAAAGAAATCGCTAGTTTATACCACTAACAAGGCTCAAAATAGCCCCACACTAACACAGTAACATAATGAGGGTTCCTACATGCAAAACGAAGCATTGAGAACTTTGTAGACCGTTACAAAGCAGCATAACTTTGCAGTAGGGTCTTGCACTCTGGACGTGCACCCCTTTTTAAAACTCCAACTCCAGTCCAAACTTCCCCCATTTTGGGAACCACTGCTTTAATCAAACTTTTCACTCAAATTGTTATGCTAATAATTCTCTGTAATAAAATAAAATACTACAATCTAATATAATATAATGATAGAGTTTGTAAAAAAAAAAAGAAAAGAAAAAGAAAAAGAAAACTTCAAAACATAAGCATTTTTTCTAGTGGTTTTGCTCTCCAGTTATGCACAATATCATGGTAACAGCAACTGTCTATGTGTTTCTGAAACCATGAACAAAGCTTATTGTAATTGACTTACCTGGTTCCTCCTCCGGCTCCTCCTCCTTCTCCTTCTGCACAGCATACTGAAGGTGTGTGACCAGACCCATGTTCTCTTTATAATATGCCTCTACCAGGTCTGGCAGCAGAGTGAAGAACCGAATAGGCACACCTTCTGATGCCTACAAAGCAAAGTATTCAGATGAACAAAGGTGTTCAAATGTTCAAGATTTATGGGATTTTACGATATACAAAATCATGATTTGCATAAACATGTTCAGCACTCCCAGCAATACTTCCAGTAACTCTCTTGGTTGTTCTTCCTTTGTCCGAAACCAATAGCGGTACATTGCATTTCTTCATTTTGCATGGTTTCCTTTAAAAAGTGCTCACTTGGTGCCAAGTAGGGTTTATAAGCCACTTTTTCCAAAGGACTTTGGAGTATAAGCTCTTAGTCACCTGGTCTGACTTACATCTTGATGCTCAGCAAATGTTTTGACCCAATTACATGCATTACTGTACAAAGTAAGAACAAATTCTAACCAGATATGTACTTTAAAAACTTGATGTGTTTATGATGTGGAAAAGCACACGATATTCAGAAAAATTCAGCATAGTACATATACAGTCCTTTTTCCAACAACAAAATGCTACTAATGTTATCAAATCCACAGCCCCTAATTTCTAAATGAATCAGTCCTATACTTTTGGCTATGGAGAAAATTAAGGAAAATGGCAGCATTTAGCACATGTGTCATGCATATAGCGTCGCTAATCACAAGATGTTCGATATAGGAATAGGAAACAAGCGTAATCTTTGAATAAAAAACAAATTCTCAGTGGTTTAAGGTCAGCGCAAATGTATTGCAATTGAAATTTGCTAATCTAATTAAATTAAATGGCATGAACACATTTTTTTGAAACTTTCCATTCAAGGCGGGGTGCAAGAGGAACCCTGTGGCTTGCTTAACACCCACGCTGATGGATAAATTAAAACTGAGGCTGTGCTGCAACGCAGGCTTGAAAGAGGAAGAACTGTGGTAGAGAGACATTGAAGGGCATTGTACAACAGTTTTTGGTTTAGCCCCGTCCCTTGAGTGCAGGTTACTTTGAAATGTAACGCCAAGAGAGAACAATGCAAATTATAAGCAAAGGTCACCCAATTTGCTCTCATTATTTTGTTGTCACGAGAATAAGAGTTTTGTAAAACTCGAATAAAACCACCAATTGGTTTTGCAGCTGCACTGTCACGCTGGAAGACCAATGCTTGCTTTAATGCAGAGGACATAATAGATAGCTTGACAGACAAGACGCCCACACAACGGTCTCAGAGAGTCTTTGGCAGCTGAAGAGCCAACTGTCACAAGGTCACACATTCATTACCAAGTACAAGATAGTAAATGGCTTGTAGGAGGCCAGATGTTCTGTGCAACTAGTCATAAAAATGGACAGTGTTTTGTCAAGTGACCAGCAGAATATGAGCGAAACACGTAATTAGCAGATGATTGAGTATCTCTGCCTCTGCTTTTTGTCTCGTCGTGGTTCTATTGTATATTTTTTACACTTGACCACAATTTTAGTGCTGTAGACAGTTTCAAATGATTAAAATAAATGATGCATCTAGTGTGAACGAAAAAATCCTCAAATTTCATTACAATGGATACAAAATATCAATATCACAATAAAGAACAAACACTTTTCTTGAGCAAAACAATGCACAGAAAAAGGTTCCGAATTACTAACCAATATATTTAATACATAGTTCAAAATGGAGATCATTCAACATGTTCCTGTTGTCAAACGTGAGGAGAACTACACTTGTGGTTCACCTGTGAAATTCAGTGGAACAATATGTGAAAAGTTAGTTTCAAGGAAATCTCTAGAAGTTTGCTGATGCCAATGTTTGATAATTTGTACCGAATGAGATTTTATGGCTGATTAATGTGTCCAAATACTTGTTGGGTCCACCAAAAGCTTTACTTTAATAAAGTGATGAAAAGAAAACACCATTCTGGTGACATTCTCACAAGCAGAAGTATCTCGGTGCACATCTCAAAATAGTCCCTCAGCACACCTGTCTGTGCGAATATGAAAGCAGAGCCATTGCAGGAAGCTTCAACCCAAAGAAACCAATGCAAAATATTCTCATCAGAGGAGTAACCAACCACTGCCATATATATATATATATATATATATATATATATATATATATTTTTTTTTTTTTTTTTTTTTACCTGGACTGATAGTTTTTTGTCCTCATTTGGTAATATTCTGTAGGTGTACACACAGTTCTGGTACCTGCAAAATATTGAGAAGAATAAAAACATAATGCATTTAAAACAAATTCCATGTAAAATGTCACAAATCAAACACAAAAAGTGAAAATGGCCATTTTGCTGAAAGTGTAATAACCTCGCCGACTTCCTTGAGTCTCAGTTAACACTGTTTGTTAATAATTCATGATACAAGGAATCATATTGGACTTGTATGTCATTGCATACTTAACAATTTGTAAGGAAACAGGGAAACTGAGATCAGTTTGCAAACAAATAGGCCTCTTATTTGTAAACTGATTGCAACAATGATATTTCAAAAACCATAATATATATATATATATATATATATATATATATATATAAGGTTGCATGGGCGGTACCACAAAAACCGAGCATGTTTTATATTTATGACAGACTCACATTTCACCTCATGCACAAACACACTGCAAATGTCACATTTAAACCACATTCCAACTCAAAAGCCTTCAAACGTTCATGTTTCATTACGTTTAATATTAGGGGCAACATATGTGCCCTTCCACCTGAGAGGTAACAGCAATACTCACAGAACACAGAGGGCATAAGCTCCCTGTATGGATTCGCTGTCCCGCAGAAGGAAGCTCCCATCCTTGCCTGCTTTGGAGAGGAGGTCCTCTGCTGTAGACCGAGTGATATTGCCATGATACCATGGCTGGTGGGAAAACATCCTTTCCAAATACTTCTCCCTTCCTCTGTCTGGAGACACCCAGGTTATTCTGGCCCAGGCAGTTTTCAAGAGGAGATCAACATGAGGTCAGCTTCAGAGTTTTAAGGTCTGTCTCATTTCGTTGTTATAACTGATAGCCGCTCCTGCTCTGTCTGGCTCTAGGCTCGCTGCGTCTCTCTCTTCCTGTTAGAGGGGCGAAAGCTGCAAAAAGGAAGCTACCACAAACACAAGGGTGAACTTCCTCATTCTGCGCACACAGAGTCTAAAAACTCAGAGAGAGTGAGCAAGAGGAGGCCGAACAGAAGGCTTGCTCACACGTTCACACGGCTCCAACAGCTCTTTTTTTTACCGAAAAAGAGATGAAAAAGGTTTGTGTGGTATTTTAGGAGTTCTCAACAGTGCGTTCTTTCATATAATATCAATGATTAACCCTGCTAACCAAAACTATGAGGACAATAACCCATGCATGTGTTAATGGCCATTATGCAAAGTAGAGAAATGTAGATAAACATTAGTGTAAAAGGCTCTTATTGTGAGTTTATCTTTTTGACCAAACCACTGGTCCTGAAAGGGAAGGGACTTGTGCAGCACACTTGTCTCATCTTCAGGCTACTGAAGGGTACTTCCCCTGTAAAATGCTGCTGTGCCCCTAAAGGCACAATATTTGCCAATCTTTTTCTGACCGTGTACAATCACTCTGTTATTAAAGGGGTGATGAACTGAGAAATCAAATTTTCCTTGAGCTTTTGACATCTACGAGGTCATCATATTATAAGAACATCCTGTAAGTTTCAGAACTGAAAACGTCCTTGTTAGTCCAATAAAATCTTTTATTGACGTGAGCCCCAGCAAACGACTCGTTTTTAAAAGTGGGGATCTATGACGACAAAGAGGATAAAACACCACCCCCGCAGAAGAAGATCAACGGTTTAGCCCCGCCCACCGATTTGTGCATGCCACGCATAGCAAAATAACATAGATGCCTACCTCGTGATGACAAACCGGATCGAGATACCAAGCAATACAAAATATTGTGCAGTGCCTGGTTGTGGAAGAAGACAGTCGCTGCATAAGCTTCCTCTGGATTCCAATAGGAATGTAAAAAACGTTATTTTTCATGACGTTTCAGCTGATGAGGTAAAACCGTCTGTTCGCTTCATTTCACTAAGGATTTGTAAACAAGACTGGATTTGCAGACTGATTAAGAGTAAAGAACGGTGCTGTGCCGTCTATATTGGATCTGACAGGAATGGTGCAACACACGGACTCTGGGTCGAACATGTATGGGAGAATCATTCTAGTTGCCGTTTTACAAAATTGGATGTTTTCAAAACAATTTCCCGCGAGTGCATCGACGGGTGAGTTGAAACTCATTATAATATGCAAAACTGTTATCCACTCACAGCAGTGGGCGTTTACTTCCAAGTCTTCAGTGCGAGACGCCCATAAAAACCTAGCGTTTCTGAGCTGGGTTCAAAACTAGGGTAGATAATAGCTTATTACTTATTCATTTTGATGTTTTTGAATGTAAAAACCAAGCGAACGTCATAAGTTCACCTCAGACAACAATATAATAACATTTAAAAAGCTAGTTCATTCATGACCAGTTCCTCCAAAAAGAAAACTCTGTTATTTCACCATATTGTTCCAAATCCTTACTTTGGAAAAAAGAGGAGACATTGGGCAAGATGTTCAAACTGCACTTTCCCATGCAAATGCAAGATACATGAGAATAAAATGACATCATTGACTTGCCATGTTTGAATATACATAGCCTTGAATGAGATTTGAGAACTGCATGGGGAAACAGATTATCAGTGAGTAACAACACTTTGCATAGCATTTTGTGTGTGTGTGTGTGTGTGTGTGTTCATACTTCCAGGTATCAAACTTTCTACTGTAAAGTGAAATGATTACTGTTTTTGTTTTATTTAGTTTTGTGATCATACTGCCAAGTATCAAACTTTCTACTTCTTTTGAAAGAAAATTAATTTTCAAAAGAAATGTTTGCTGTTTTTGTTTATGTTATGTTTTGAGGATTGTACTGGAATTTATGAGTAATCCTGAGTAATGCACACTGCATACACATTACTGTCCTCTTTCTCACTCTCACTCACTCGCTCAGCAAAGCTGCCTTGTTACGTTAATGGACAGGAAACCTTGCACAAATATGAGGAAAGAGAAGCAAAGACAGAGAGACAGAAAGCGAGTCAGACACAGAGAGAGAAAATAATCTGCTGACTGCTCACAGTTTGAGTCACATGATGCGAAAAGAGAACCTGAATAGTGCCACAGTCACTTCAGGCTGGTGGTTTACATCTTGCGTCTTTCTCACATGCACACAGCTATAAAGAATGCGGTTATGTTCTATTGTCAATAAGAGCTCAGCAGTGACGGCCACTGTGTGGTGGGACAGAGCATGTGCGGTGCATATACTGTAGATAAAGGACGTTTTCACAAGATTCTGCTTATTGTCATTAGCAGCTGTCACATGAGATGATACTCACAAGTCAAGTGTTATAAAGACTAATGAGAGATGTATGAGATGTGACAAAGTTCTTTTTCTCTTTGGTGATCGTGGGGTTGTGAATGGGGGGAGGGGTATTGTAATTGTAACCACCAAAACGCATCTGATGCATAAAAAGAAGAATCAATAGTTGACAAAAGTTGACTTGGTTATATGCATTTACAAATTGATTCATGGATGGATCTTACTTGAGAAATACAGAAACATTAATGATATAAGTATAATAACCACAAAAATACAAAAAAAAAATTATATATAGCGATTGGTTACAGTAATTAAAGTCATATAAATACGGATGCATATAACAACTTCATTTGAACAAGTGAAAACAAAACCAGTATTTCATGCCATCAAAAAAAAAAAAAAGTAATTATTTACCTTAAACATGAAAAGGTACATTTTGTTATCAATTGACTAGTGTGAAGTGCAGATGCATCTAAATAGTCTAAATAACAAATAGCCGTCAAGGAATGTATAGTAGTATTCATTTCGACTCCTCACTGGTTTGCTACCCTTCACACATTCTGACCACAGCTTTAGAGTGCTATAACCAGAAAAAAACACCCCGAAGACCATTAAAACAATGATTAGAAGTAGTGTTTGGTACCAAATATGAAATTCATTAGCTTCACACTGATTTCATTGAAGGAGTAGTTCACTTTAAAAAAAAACTTTTGCTGATAATTTTCTCACCCCCATGTCATCCAAGATGTCCACGTCTTTCTTTCTTCAGTCAAAAAGAAATTAAGGTTTTTGATGAAAACATTCCAGAATTTTCTACATATAATAGACTTCAATGGGAGCCAAACGGTCCAAGGTCCAAATGAGAGTTTCAATGCAAACTGTTCAAAGGGCTTTAAACGACACCAGATGATGAATCAGCGTCTTTTCTAGGACCCTTAGAGTCATGACTCAAAAAAAGATTTGTTCATTTTGATGAACGAGTTCGAACAGGAGAGTCACGAACGCTCATCTCCGAACAGAGCAAGGCAACCATTTGTGTTTATAAAACTTAAACTTTGTTATTTTTTGGTAACACTTTATTTTACGACCCGCAAACAACTGGGTAAGTACACAGAAATTACGGTGTACGTTTCTGTAATTATAGTGTACTTCCGTGTAAGTATAAGGGAACAATATGTTAAGTTTGGGGTAATAAAGGGGTAACAAGCAGATATACAACCTGCAAATAACTTCGTAAGTACAGTGAAATTACGATGTACGTTTCTGTAAATATAGTGTACTTCCGTGTAGGTATAAGGGAACAATATGTAAGTTTGGGGTAAAAAGGGGGTAACAAGCACCACTTTCATTTACAGCCCGCAGGAGTTACACTTACCCTGTAACTACGCAGAACAAGGGGGTAACAAGCACCACTTTAATTTACAGCCCGCAATGGTTACACTTACCCTGTAAATACACAGAACAAGGGGGTAACAAACGCTACTTATGTAGCAATACGAAACAACACTATTTGCACTGTAATTACAGAGAACGGTACTGTAATCAAGAAAATAAAACAACAACAAAAAAAGTTTTAATTACAGAGTATATTTGCCCTGACGTTAAAAGTGTCATTGCAATTCAATGGGATAAGGTAAGTACTAATTATCACAAGGTACAGTTTAAATTAAAATCATAACAGAAAATTATTATTTTGATTTAGCATTAAGTAATCTAGTAAGAAAAGCCAATAAATTTGATTTTTATCATATATATATATATATATATATATATATATATATATATATATATGTGTGTGTGTTTAATTTTCAACCCTCAGATGTCAAAATTACCCTGTAACATTGCACAAGAACATATTTAGCCAGAAATGTGATACATTTTATTAACAACAGACGTACATTTTTTGCCTGGAATATATTAAAAGAATAGGTACCTGTTATTTTTTAACTAATTAAATAATTTGCTTGTATATCTGCTTGTTACCCCCTTATTACCCCAAACTTAACATATTGTTCCCTTATACCTACACGGAAGTACACTATAATTACAGAAACGTACATCGTAATTTCTGTGTACTTACGAAGTTATTTGCAGGTTGTATATCTGCTTGTTACCCCTTTATTACCCCAAACTTAACATATTGTTCCCTTATACTTACATGGAAGTACACTATAATTACAGAAACGTACACCGTAATGTCTGTGTACTTACCCAGTTGTTTGCGGGTTGTAAAATAAAGTGTTACCTATTTTTTTTAAATGAGCGATCGTTTTGCTTGATAAGACCTTTATTCATTGTCTGAAATCATTTAACCCCTTAACTGTCACCCCCCCTTTTTGAGAATGGGGGTTAAATGCTCTATTCACACTTAAATGGTTGTAATTCAAGAATGCCTTGGAATATATACCCAAGTTTGGTCTTGTTTTAAAGAAAACACTCAGCAGATTATTGCTGAAGTGAAAACACTTCAAAAAATGAAAGTATGAAAAAGTTATGGAAGTTTTAATTCACAGTAAATCAAATATACTGTACTATATATTTTTTATTTTATATAAAATATATATTTTACAAAATATTTTTACTCTAAAATTACTATAAAATCAAACCCATAAATCTAACCAAGTTATGTTCCAAATTTGAAGTTGATATCACAAAAATTGAAGTTCCCATGAGATTTTGTTTAGGCGTAGTACCAAAAATAGCCACCGGGTGCCATTGAATTCCATTGAATTTCGTTGTGTACATTCTGCCTTAATAAATTAATAAATTTCTGTCCAAATATCAATTTTGTCACAAAATTTGGAACCTTGAGACTCAGACCTTTCTGACAATATGTGTTTTGTCAAGATTAGAAAAGGTTTTGATCATAAATTATGAAATATAAGGATGCCCAAAAGGGGAGGAGCCTCATAAAATGAGTACCGTTTCTATGGTAACGCAACGTTCAATTATGAAATGGTTTTCACAGAATGAATTCTGAGTTTATAAGCTTTCAAATGATACCTAATTTATGATAACTACTAAAATATGTGATATAATAAAAAAAGGCGATAAAAATTATTATGATATTTTAGAGGATAATATATACATATATATTATAATTTTTAGAGGATAATGTTATACTATAATTTTTATTTTTTATTGAAAAATACTAGATTAAATGTTTTATTATGAACTTTTAGCATAAAAACAGAAGTTTCAATGATTAAAAGTGGGTGAATCAACTTTTTGTGACAAAGGTCAGACCTCCTGTTATGATGCAGATTTTTTTAGGTGCACTCTTGTCATAAATTCATTAATTACTCTTCCTACATAATTTTTAACACAAAACAGGGGTCGAATATTTAATTAGAAGTCTTAGACCTTTCCAAAAATATATAATTTGTCATAATTAGATTAGGATTTAATAGAAATAAAGTGAAGTAAAGTTAGGCGTCCCGGTACCGGGACGGTGACAGTTAAGGGGTTAAAGTCCTTTGAACATTTTGCACTGACACTCGAACCGTTTGGTGCCCAGTGAAGTCCATTATATGGAGAAAAATCCTGGAATGTTTTCATCAAAAACCTTAATTTCTTTTCGACTGAAGAAAGAAAGACATGGACATCTTGGATGACATGGGGGTGAGTAAATTATCAGCAAGTTTTTTTTTTAAAAGTGAACTACTCCTTTAAGAGTGTGCACTAAGGAAGTGCTGACAGTTTACAAAGAACGACTAAAAGCATGTCATTACAACATTAATATTTAAAAGGCAGTACACAGCCTTATACATGTCTTCTCAAACCTTGATAGAATCTTATGTCAACAGTTGTGATCTGACAACTGACTTAAACAGAACAGTCACTGGTACCCTCCCAAATTACTTTCACTTTAACATGTCCAAATCACATGCTTGGTGATGCAAGAGGCTGTTTGCAAGTTCCTGATCTTTAATTGACCATACTCAGGAAGTGTGGGCAGAATCACTTAAACCGATGAAAAAAATATTAATTTGGCTCGCTCAGAACTCAGTCTTTGCACTCACAGAGCTCTCATGTGTCCCTTTCAGGTCCCCACTTGTAGCGCCGGACCCCCCTGACTTGTCTCTGCAGAAAAGCCTGCGAACGCTCCCCCTGAACTTCTCAGCAGCAAACAGGTACACCAGTGGATCCAAAGCCCCGTTCAGGCAGGTTAGCGAGGAAGTAAGACGGTTAGCAAGGGCTAGCGCTCTTTTGATTTGGCAGGATAGGTCTGGGTGTCCATGACCCAAGATAAAGGTTGCACGGCTTAAGTGATAGGGCAGAAAGCACACTATGTAGATGAGCATGACCAGACCGATGGTGCGTAGAGCTCGGAGTTTCAATGCCGGCTCCAGCCTCGAACCTTTTCGCAGACTGTTCACGATCAGCAGGTAGCAAGAAAGGGTGGCAATGAAAGGCGGCATGAAGGCTACGACGAGGGAGACGAGAGCACGGTGTGAGGCCTTTTCTCTGTACAGCTGCAAGCATACGGTAGAGCCATTGACTTCTGCGGTCTGCTTGGTGACCAGTAGGGGCGCCATAGACACTATCACTAAAGCCCAAAGCACAAAACTGGCAATGTGAGCGTAGCGAGGGCGCCTGACCTTGAGGGAGCGTACGGCGTGTACCACTGCAAGGTATCTATCGCCTGCAACACAGGCCAGGAAGTACAAACTGGCATACATGTTGACGTAAAAGAAGAAGCCTGCGAGACGGCAGGGGATTTCACCAAACGGCCAATGTCCCCCCGTTAAATGATAAGTGGCCCTGAGAGGTAAAACGAAGATGTAAAAGAGGTCAGCCACAGCGAGATGGAGCAGGAAGACATTGGCTGGAGAGGAGTTGGCTCTCTGGCGGGCGAAGATCCACAGGGCAAGGCTATTGCCGTTCAGCGCAAGAAGGAAAACGATGATGTAGTAGAATCCAAAGATCATATTCTCCACTGTATTATCCACAGGTGGACAGCTCTCCATGGATCGATTGGGCAGCAAGGTGGGGACTTCTGTAAGGGCGAACTCCATCTTTGTAACTGCAAAAAAGGAAAAGAAAGATATATATTTTTTAATTATAAATTGTCTTTAGTTTTAATTCACTTGTATAAAATAATCATGTACGTTGTATATTTGAATGTAGGAATATAGATAAATTATAAACTGAATTTCATAGTTATATTTTTTCCCTTGTGTGAGTGTAGTCCGAGGCAATGTTGTTCGTTCTGTGTTTTAACTTGAAAAATTTTACTTGAAAAGTAAAAAAAAAAAAAAAAAAAAAAAACCTCCGCTCACTTTCAACTGTTGTTAGTCTAAAGGACTTCTCCACAGGTACATGTACAGGTCCGTCTATAAAAATTAGCATATTGTGATAAAGTTCATTATTTTCCATAATGTAATGATAAAAATTAAACTTTCATATATTTTAGATTCATTGCACACCAACTGAAATATTTCAGGTCTTTTATTGTTTTAATACTGATGATTTTGGCAAACAGCTCATGAAAACCCAAAATTCCTATCTCAAAAAATTTGCATATCATGAAAAGGTTCTCTAAACGAGCTATTAACCTAATCATCTGAATCAACTAATTAACTCTAAACACCTGCAAAAGATTCCTGAGGCTTTTACAAACTCCCAGCCTGTTTCATTACTCTCAAAACCGCAATCATGGGTAAGACTGTCGACCTGACTGCTGTACAGAAGGCCATCATTGACAGCCTCAAGCAAGAGGGTAAGACACAGAAAGAAATTTCTGAACAAATAGGCTGTTCCCAGAGTGCTGTATCAAGGCACCTCAGTGGGAAGACTGTGGGTAGGAAAAAGTGTGGCACAAAACACTTCACAACGAGAAGAGGTGACCGGACCCTGAGGAAGATTGTGGAGAAGGACCAATTCCAGACCTTGGGGGACCTGCGGAAGCAATGGACTGAGTCTGAAGTAGAGCCACCGTGCACAGGCGTGTGCAGGAAATGGGCTACAAGTGCCGCATTCCCCAGGTCAAGCCACTTTTGAACCAGAAACAGCGGCAGAAGCACCTGACCTGAGCTACAGAGAAGCAGCACTGGACTGTTGCTCAGTGGTTGCATGTCATTCGGAAATCAAGGTGCCAGAGTCTGGAGGAAGACTGGGGAGAAGGAAATGCCAAAATGCCTGAAGTCCAGTGTCAAGTACCCACAGTCAGTGATGGTCTGGGGTGCTGGTGTTGGTCCACTGTGTTTTATCAAGGGCAGGGTCAATGCAGCTAGCTATCAGGAGATTTTGGGGCACTTTTCAGCACGATCTGGCACCTGCTCACAGTGCAAAACCACTGGTAAATGGTTTACTGACCATGGTATTACTGTGCTCAATTGGCCTTCCAACTCTCCTGACCGGAACCCCATAGAGAATCTGCGGGATATTGTGAAGAGAAAGTTGAGAGATGCAAGACCCAACACACAGCTTAAAGGGTTAGTTCACCCAAAAATGAAAATTCTGTCAGTATTTACTCACCCTCATGTTGTTCCAACCCCGTAAGACCTTCGTTCATCTTCGGAACACAAATTAAGATATTTAAGATATTAAGATCGCTCCTGCATACAGTCCATAGGCTTCTTGAGGGACTGGCTCTTGCTGTCCCCGAAAAGTCATTAAAGACATCATTAAAATAGTCCAAGTGACTACAGGGGCTCAATCTTAAGTTTATCAAACGACGAGAACACTTTTGTGCGCAAAAAAACAACAAAAATAACGACTTTATTTCAACTATTCACTTCCTTCTCCATGAGCCTGTAAGTCAGTTAACGTAGTGTGATTGCGTAGAGCTACGTCACACGTGGGCTCACTATTGGCCGACGCTGGTCATGTGTGTGTGATGCGTGTGACGTACAATAACAGAAGCTTACGCTATTAAACTAGTAACCTGACTCGCGCAGAGGGAGAAATAAACGAATAGTTGAAATAAAGTCGTTATTTTTGTTGTTTTTTTGCGCACAAAAGTGTTCTCGTCGTTTGATAAACTTAAGATTGAGCCCCTGTAGTCACTTGGACTATTTTAACGATGTCTTTAATGACTTTTCGAGGACAGCAAGAGCCAGTCCCTCAAGAAGCCTATGGACTGTATGCAGGAGCGATCTTAATATCTTAAATATCTTAATTTGTGTTCCGAAGATGAACGAAGGTCTTACGGGGTTGGAACAACATGAGGGTGAGTAAATACTGACAGAATTTTCATTTTTGGGTGAACTAACCCTTTAAGGCTGCTATCGAAGCATCCTGGGCCTCGTTTCATTTTTATCATTACATATGGGAAAAAAAATGAACTATCACAATATGCTAATTTTTTGAGAAGGACCTGTACAATAATTGTTCACAGCTCACTGAACAAGCATAAAACACATTGTTTAAAAACTTCCCATACAAATATGTAGGTAATGCTTATTTGGATTTCTATTAAATTGTCTTTGAAGAACAGTATTCAGAAAAAAGGGTATTGTTTTGCTGAGTACATATATATATACACACTATGGTCCAAAGTTTGTGGCCACTATGAATTCATACACGAAACAAACATTTTTATTCAGCCAAGATGCATTTAATTGTGACAATAAAGACTTCTACACTGTCTCAAACCATTTTGTTTCCATGTTCTTTTAAACTGTTCAGACATCAAAGAATACAGAAAACTGACGGTTTCCACAAAATATTAAGCAGGACAACTGTTTTCAGAATTAATCAATGCTTAAATGCATTCTTAAGCATCAAATCAGCATATAAGAATGATTTCTGAAGGATCGTGTGACTGAAGACTGGAGTGATGCTGATTCAGCTGAATATGCTACAATTGAAACATAAAAATAGAAAACAGTTATTTTTAATTGTAATAATTCAAAATTTTACTGCATTCTTAATCAAACACATGCAGTCTTGGTGAAGCTCAATTCAAAAGCATCTTGAACAGTATCAAATAATATTACTAGATAGTTCAATATAAAATATAAAATAAATAAACCTTCAATAATCTAATTGAATAAATAATGTCTTGTGCTCTAGTGGCACATTCCAAAATTGTATAAACTGCACCAGCGTATATAAAATAACATTTCTCAATATTTCTAAATAAAAAAATGAAACTTTATTATTAGAATTATTATGAATTTTTATCTGAGCAGCTGAGATGGTGCCTCTTATAGAGTTGCTGCCCTTGACTAACTGCCTAATTTCCATATAGGGAACAAATTTCAACAAGAAAAAAAAAACATAAAAAACTGAGAGATCAACAAAAATATACATGTTTGGCAAACACTTCCATCCCACATCATGTATGGCGCATTTCATTTTTTGCTAAGAAATAAAAGATAAAAAAATAAGAATTTTCTCAAAGAAATTAAAATCTGAGAAAAGAAAAGAGCAAGTTTACATCTGGCTTTGGGAATATGTTTCCAAACTCCCCTGTTATCAAAACATGTTTACAAAAATGGAGCAAAGGATAGCACTGACTCACCAAGAAACACTTTTTCTTCCAGCAAACGGCAGTAAACATTGATCCGCCACTAATTCGAGTAGTGAGGGAGGGAGTGTTACAGCTGTCTGTCTGTTTGGCAGCACCTCATAGATATATGTGTCATGTCTCAGGAGTCTGGGCAGATATCCCTGCAAGGCAGTGCACCTCCACACACTGCATGAAGGTGTTGTAGTGCATCTGGTGGCCACATCTTTGTCATGAGACCCCAGAGTCACTCCCAGCTATCTGCTTACAGTCTGACCCAGCTGTCCTCATGGCATTCTTGTTTGTCAAATCATTGGCGGGTGTCCAGGGCGGCTTATCCTAAACTCAAACAGTTGCTCTATTAGTTATCAGGCCAAATTAAGCATCTGCAGGGATGAGATGAAGACCTTTTTAAAAAAAGACTCAAAGTATAGTTACTATTTGAGCTATAGTTGACAATATGGATTTTTTTTTTAACTCTTAGAGAGTATGAATATTGCATAATAAGGTTGATGTTTCAATAACTTGATGTTGAAGGATGAATGACATGATGCTCATTTTTTGACAGGAACTGCTTAAAAGAATTATTCCATGCATACAATGATTGTACACATCTTCAATGATGTTTTTAATTTCTGAATTAAAATTCAATGGGGCAAGGTCACAACTATATTACATGCAATGATGATATCACAATGTAACATATCAAAATGGTGGAAAAAAAGCCTTTTTAATGAAATTCTTGAACACAAAAATGTTCTGAGAAACAAATCTGCTATACTACTTAGTGAAATGTGGTCTTCCATACAAAAAAAATATAATAATAAAAAAAAACAGAAAAAAGAGGAAATGATAATAAGGGTAGGCCTATTTATTTCTTTGACTCAGTCCAAATGCAAAAAAGTGAAAGTGTCATGTGAAGGCCATGTAAGGTTACCCATACTCAGAATTTGTCCTCTGCCTTTAACCCATTCAACGAAACGACTTGCTGAAACATTCTAAGACTGACTGAACAAACTTACAGACTGTTTCCAATGAAGCAGCAGATTTTAAACTGAATGAATGCAACCGTCTCTGACTCACTCGTTTGGACATGATCAGTCCAAGTGACACGATACCATTAATTTTCAATGGTGAGCGGGCGACTTCATGCCGGATGGGGTGTGTCTGACAATGCGACAAAGTTGCGAAATTTGTAGCTTTATGCAAATGAAGAGCGATTTTTGACAGCGACAACCAATAGGAGTGAAGTCAGTGGAGCACGTCACTCTTCAATGCTGAGTCTGACCGAGGCAAGTTGAACGAGCTCATTTTAGCAGTCAGAATCTGTCCTATAATTTATGATATATCTTCGTGTCCAACAGTGGTGTTCACCTTACTGACTCCGTGTCTGAATGGTTTCGGGAATCCAGATAGACCGGTATTTACCGTTTGCTGCAGTTAAATAGCCGTGATGACAAAGAGCACTCACTTTTTCTCGTTCATCTTTAACATCATGCATTTTATTTACTGATTCCATTTATATTTAGACTTTTCCTTCCAAAATATTTGTTTGTAGTGGCAATAAAACGTATTTGTTGTCTAACATTCCCAACCAGTAGTGGGAATGCCCTCCAGCATAGCCACTGGCAACCTGAGGCGACAAAGTCGCGTGTAGCTTTAGACTCATTAAGATTGCTACACACATCCAGAGCAGTGGGCAGCCTTTTTTTGCTGCGCCACCCGGGGAGCGATTGGGGGTTAGGGCACCGCAGACCACTTTCCTGCCGTATTTAGAATCGAACATGCAACCTTCGGATTACCAGTCTGACTCTCTAACCATTAGGCCACGACTTCCCACATCCAAGATCAGTGGTTTGAATTTAAAAATAATATACCGGTAAAACACAGAGTGGACATGTGGAAGACATTAAATTAATGAGTACTGAAACAAAAAAGAAAGATCATACTGTAATTCCACACATATTGTCATTCCACACCCTTCAGAGTACTGAAATATTAAAATGTAGCTTTTCCCAGTATTAAGAGCAAACAGCCTGTCTTTGTGGCTAAAATCTGCTACCAACACATTTCACAATAACCTCTCACTGGAGTTGTAATAATAGGGGAACTCTGTCAATATTTTCAGAACAGTATGGACAAACCCAAAAGTGGGTGTGTACAAAGGATTGTCTCAAGATCCTGCTAAAGGGAAATGCTGATTTGTAACTGAGGGGAGTAAATTCTCAAGTCCCAAAACATGCCCAACCCTCCGGTAATTCAAACAGATAAAAGTAGAGAACTAAAAAACAAAACCAAAAAGCTGTCCTGAACTGGAGTCAAAAAGGCGTGATTGCGATAGAGAAATCCAGATAGTTAATAGATGGCCCTGGTGGTTTTCTGGTGTGTGGTATGAAACTACACAGTGTGGTCCAGGAAAAACACATTTCCTCAGATAAAATATGAGAATTTCTAATGAAATAAAACTATAGCCCAGTAGCACTAGTCCAAATGCTTTGTGGTTGTCTTGGAAAACATGCTACCAAAAGCTTTGTAGAACTAGGAACCTCCTCCACAGCCTGCCAACAATACAAAATCACTTTTGTGTTAAAGAAATAAGTAAGGGTCAAGGGTGCAATGTGACACTAATGCTCCTATCCCATATCCACAAAAGAAGCAGAAGTAATTACAGGCGTGAGGCGCACTGCAGATTAACTAAAGCTGTGGGGACCAACATGCTTACAGGAACTCAAAGGGAAACTCAATATATAATTTTTTTCTATTTTTTACATTACACATAGCCTAATGAAATATGACCACATGAAAGCAAATGCATGTCCAATTCAATTTTTTATATTTGATCCCCTGAAGTGATTTTGACTGATTAATCTTGGCCAAGTATAGTTTTTTACTTTATCATGCAGTGCTAAAATGACCTTCCAGAGACCAGTAACTCATAACATTGCATTGAGTAAGTCTACTATGAACATGTACATTTAGATCCTGGGAATAAGGGAAATGCAATAGTAATACTATAAATTAAAAATATTAATAAAAAAAATAATTCATGACATGCACTTAAACTGGAAAAATGCAATATAGAAATTATATAAAAATAGTAATAAAAACATTAACAGTGCATAAAATAAATTGTTTAAATGGCATGCATAAGCTACACTGAAATTAATTATTGTTTAACGTTAACTAAAGTAAGTTGCCTCGTTGAAACTAAAAAATTGAGTTAATGCAACAAAGGATTTTTTTTCAGTGTAGAAAACAATACAGTCATTTTTATTAAAATTATATCAAAAATACATGAGACAACATGAGACATGAGAGAAAGTTTGAAATCTATAAAACAACACAGTGTATGACAGACTCACCAGAGATGTTGATCCCTCAACAGCCCATGCAGTAGTGAAGGAGTTGAGTTGAGGAGAGAGAGAGAGAGAGTGAGAGAGAGACTTCTGGACTTTCTTACAGCTGCCTGAAAAGCAAAAGCAAACTAGCAGCTTCTGTTCAGAGGCAGTGGAGTTCAATGGAGTTGAGACTCTACTCTCCTAGGCTGAGCTGGATTTGAGATACGATTTACTGTGGCTCTTTTTGTGTAGCCAACAAATTTGATCACAAAAACGCAGTTCGCGATGGGAAGGCTCTAATGTGACCCTTGACCTCAGCCTTTCTTTGCAATGCTATTTTCTTCTGAGGGCCACTTGTGCGCTCCACAATAACCCGAGTCAGAAGAAGCGGCACATTTCGACAAGGGGAGAATAATGGCATGCCTTGGTCGCAATGTGGAGCCGGTGGGGTACCATGGCAACGGGGACTAGCGTGCCTTTAGGTCAGAAACCCCCCTCCTTCAACCATATCAATAAACAGAAGATGAAGTGAGCATTTAACGGGACAGTTTATGAATAAAGACTAGAGATTATCTATTGCAGACTGTGGAAAGCCAGACAGGCGAGGCCCCTTGGAACTCAGAGAATGAGAGGGACGAAATTTGAGCAGAAAACACAAGGGCGAGTGGGACAGAGAATAACAGACTGAGCTCCTTGTTTCTCGGGTCCCTGCTGTGGACTATTGGGGCATCATACAGAGGCCAGAAATAAGGCCATGTGATCCTCAGACAGATGTGCAGCCCCGAGCGAACAGCAAAAGCAATAATCTGTCTTTCATTCGGGGAGATCACAGCTGTGTAGGACACACATCATCTCTTTTTCTTCTGTTTGGGCCAGTCTTCAGTGATATGCTAATATAGTTCACTTTACTGAATGCGCCCACTATTTAGTTTACCAGAATAGGCTAAATAATATACTGCCAAGTCTTAATTGGGACATCTCCAAGCCTCATTTTATGCTGCCCCACGAGACTTTGTTGCCCCGGGGCAAAACACAGCGTAATATGACTGTTAACCAGTGAATAACTAGTCTACTGTCAGATTCAAGAGCTAAAACAGTTTGATGTTCATCATGACAAAACAACAGGCGTATGTAGCCTAATTTCATTTTTGAACAAACACCCAGAATACATTGGCCTCTGTGATGAATAATAAGCATGTACAAATGCTGCGAGTAGTGCCTCATAGTCATTTATTTAACAATTTTACATAAAAACTTGAAATACATCAAAAACTAAGTATGATTCAAAGACCATGATGATTCATTTGTATCATTAAATATTAGTGAAGCAGTAAACAAACTGAAATTACAGTCTTCTTCATACATTCTGCCATTATATTAAGAAAAAACAGGCATAACAGTTGGCATCAAACATTTTGCAAGATATAGCACATTGAAAAATAAAATCAGACAAATATTCAGTTTGATAAATTAATAACAGAGTATTTCTCATTGGGTACACTCTTAGAAGAAAAGGTTCGTATTTGGAACCCCTAAAAGGTTCTATACAGAACCCTTTTTAAGGGTTCCTCTTTGTAACCAGGAAAAAGGTTCTATATGGAACATTTTGGGTTCATTCATTTTGTCCTTTCCGAATTAAATATTTCATATTATTGACAAACACCCTAAAATGTATTTGTGAATGATCACAAAATTCAAGATATGGGGGTTAGAAAATGTATATATTTGCCATTTCAGTTTTTCTCCTCCAAAAATCAGCATGATTAAAATGTGATATTAAGTTACAACAACAGTTTAATACACAATAATTGAGTTACAACTTTACAACAAATTACAACAAAATGTTGCAGAATAATGTATATATTAGAGCCCGACCGATAAAGGATTTTGAAGGCCGATACCGATACAGATATTTGTTGGTATTTGTTTTAAAATCCGATATTCCGATATATCAGCCGATATTTATTTATTTATTTTTTTCCAGAAACACGCAACAAAATATTAACAGATTT